TATATATATATATATATATATATATATATATATATATATATATATATATATATATATATATCTTCTTTAAGATGTGATTAAAATGTGATAGACAAGTTGGGCTAATACCATTTAGAGTATTAAATATCCGCAAAAGTACCTTCAAATCCATTCTAAACTGGACAGGGAGCATAACAGAAACTTTTAAATCAATGTGCTGGCAGTTCGCTTTCTGTTCTATTTTAGCTTTCTTGCTGCTAAGTTCTGAAGTAGCTGTAATAGAGTAAAGTTCTTTTCTGAAAGATTATTGCAAATCATTGCAATAATCAGTTCTACAAATTACATCATGAACTTCATTCTCTGTGTTGCATTGTGAGAGAAACGGTCAGACTCTTTTTTTCCACAGATGTTAAGAAGTATTTGGGAAGTATGCAATTAAATCACATATGATACAGTTGTTTTATTACCACCTTTTGAAGTTGGGCTTTAAGTTTCTCTGTTTGTACTAATATCTTAATCTTTAGTTTTTACCCATTTGAGTTCAATATAATTCACTGCCATATCTGACTTACTGTATTAAAAGTGGATGTAAAGTAAAAATGTGGATCAACGGGTTATGGGTCAGCAGGAGACATGTCAATGTTTTGTGTCATCAGCATTATTATGTATATGAATACCATCTCCTAATAATACCACCAATAAGCAAAATACTGTTTGCATGGAGGAGACTAAACATTTTGCTATATTTTTCCCTTTTATTGTTCATTTTCTGTAAACAAAATGTATTCACTATTAGTACTATTAGATGTACTATTGATATCCATTTACTTGTATATATTTAGCCACTGTCTGCTGAGATGGCGTCCTGTGTCTTCTTTGCAAATCCACTTGAATTTTTATATTTTGTTATAATAAAGCCCAAAACTTTTTACAATTTACAAGAAAATATGCTGAAGGAGATCATGTTTTAAGAGGATATTATAAAAAACCTTTTTCAGCTTCTGTCTCACACATCCGTTCAGCTTTACTATTATCATTAGAAATCTAGTGCAAACCAGTTTCGTTGCATTTATTGTTTCAAAAATGAGTATATGAGATGTTTTAAAAGGCATTTAAGATGAAAACGACTGACTAAGTACTTCCTGTTTGTTTCTTTAAAGTTTTTACTTAGTCATCTGGCAAACTTTTTTCTACACAACAAGGCACGTCTGTGTGTGCTTTACTCATTTTTTTCCCTTTCCTCTTGTGTTGCCGACAGGCGGACCCACAAGGCCGGGACATTGCCATCCGTCCCTTCTTGGAGCACTGTGAGAACACCCACATGACCATTTGGCTTGGCATCGTCTATGCCTACAAGGGACTGCTAATGGTGAGAGAACACAAAATCTGACAGCATAATCACAGTCTGGACACATATACATACCCGCTTCCTCACTGTGTTTTGTGAATTTACCAGTGCCTTTTTTTTTTTTTTTTGTGAAAACTATTTAAATTTGATACACTTGTGTGAAGAATGTAGTTAAAAAAGCAATGATAATGTTCATCGATAAATAGTTCCTGTAAAATATCTAACAGCAGAAATACAGAATCAAGAAGAAGGATGATTGTTAAACATAAACTATTCACTGACAGAATGTTGCTACTGCATTTTTTTAGCATTATTATCTAATGATGGGAATTGTTCTATAATCATAACAATACTTGCTATTTTCTTCCTTTTATCTAACCAATTACCTTGATTTGCATGTCAGCTATAAATTTATTATATTAACATAAAGCCTAAATCTCAAACTCACAACTCTGTTACCTAAAATGTAGCAGGTCAGAAGGCTTAAAGACAGATAGAGAGAGAGATAGATAAAGAAGATAGAAGAAATAGATCTTATTACCGTAATTTTATACAAATTACGGATTATTCAACTATAGAACTCCTTTTTTCTTTTAAACAAAACACGGAGCTGGTGCAGACATTCTTTCCTATGTGTAAATGGGGATCCGGTCCTTGCAGGTGTGTTCATCAGCAGCCCTGAATATTAGCTTTAATTATTAACAACAACAAGGTAGACATAGCTATGGGTTCCTACTTTTTTCTGCTTAAATATCCGATTTAGTCTGGCTTATAATACTGTTTTATTATTAGCTACTTTAGCCTCCAATGCTTTTGTAACTAAATGGAGCTGAGATATATCTTTAATCTAGAAAATGACAAGTTTTAGCAGCATATTTAGACTAAAATGTCATCCAGATCTATCTCTGCTAATCTTCTCCTGCACTCCAAAACTCCTCAGCAGCCAAAGCATCTAAGATTCTTTTTCATATGCTGCCTCATCAGAGTAAAGCTTACTGCACCTTCACCAACCTGCTCTACCTTCTACTCAAATTGTTTCCCTTCCTCCTTAATCCTCCCGTTTACCACTAGTGTCCAGGCTCCAGGGAAAGGACATCTCCATTCTCATAAATCTGCCTATTCTATCATCATCAGCAATGTTACATTTGAAAACGCCTTATGCTGGGTTAGTAACATCAAAAATATTTATAATGATTTACGTCAGTACTCTAATCATCTCTCCAGGTTAAAATGGATGTTGTTTGCTTAAATTTTGGGAAGGTTTTCTTTATCAGTGCTGCAGATAGAGGCACTTTACAAATGTATTTTTTAAATTGTTCTGAATATCAATGTCAAAGCGTTAGCAAAGCGTACAGGCTTTGTCTGGGAAATTCTTTTTTTCTGTCTGTCTGCCTCATAGGAAAAGTACCTGACAAAACAACACTTTGTTTTGCTTATCAGCTAAAGAGGCTCGTTTATTCTTTCATTTTTTTTATTTAATTTTACCTTTCTTTATGTACTCTCTATGGTAGCACAGTTACAATCTTCCAGCAGCAGCTTATTATTTTAGACAGTTGAGTGGCTGGGGTGTAGGAAGGGGTTGAGTATCTATTGCAGCACTGCTTTTAGAAGAAGTGCAACAATATGGCCAAATGAAAATGTGTCCGTTAGTTCTAACTTCTCATACAAAACTTTATCTTGATTTATGTTCTAATATTGATTAAATCAAACTATTGTTTTTGGAAACCCCAATTACTACTCACTATAAAAGTATAGTGACTATAAAAGTTTTCAAATTTACATCTCATATTTCAGTTGATTCTTAAAACTAATAAAATGAAAATCAGACAGGAAGACTTATCCACAAACAAAAGAACAATGTGTTTTCTACTCCCTTCGTCCCCATGCACACTCTACACACACCAGCTGGGACAACAAAAAGCTAAACGTAATTTAAAAAAATATGATAGGGCTTAATGTTCAACCAAAGTTCAGAACAGTGTAACCCTGGCTTTAAAATACATTAAAATAACCAAAGCGTAGACAGGAAACATTGTGTATGCAGCTTTAAAAAGCAAAGTGATTATTTAGTGAGTTTAGCAGAAAATTTTGAGATAAGAAGGTGTTTGTATTGTGCTTAAGAAAACATTTATTTAAGATGCACCTTATAACAAACATATAAGTGGCAAAAAAACTGCTAATACTGGTTCAGGTGGGGACTTCATCCATATTTCTGAGCAAAGCTGCATTTAAAAATATTAGATTTGCGATGGAGTAAGCATTTAGATGAAAAATTACATTAGTATAAAATAAAATAGATTTAATCATTTTAAGCATTTTAAATAAGTGAGCAGATCTGCTTACTTCACACATCATCACCCCTTTTGCAATTTGCGATTTACACTCTTATCTATTTCTGTTTTTGTACTCAGACGTTTTCATCTAATTAAATTTTTTTTTCTGGATTTGGCTGTGTTGAGCTGTCAGTTTAACTTTTCTTTTCTTCTACCTTTTACGTTTAGCTGTTTGGCTGCTTTCTGGCATGGGAGACCAGGAACGTGAGCATTCCTGCCCTCAACGACAGCAAATATATCGGAATGAGCGTTTACAACGTCGGGATCATGTGCATCATCGGAGCCGCGGTGTCTTTTCTGACCAGAGATCAGCCGAATGTCCAGTTCTGCATTGTGGCTCTTGTCATCATCTTTTGTAGCACCATCACCCTCTGTCTCGTCTTTGTTCCCAAGGTGGGTTTTTAAACATATTGGTAAAATATTACTATGCATGGACCTGTACAGGATTATTCCAATCAGCTTAATTTATTTATACAGCCCCAGTTCCTTAAAAAAATACTTTCTCAAGGCACTTTACACAAACAAGTACCTTGTAAAGAAAGTACGAATAGATGTATTTACATAATTAATTATGAGAACGTCTTCCAAGATGCTTTTTTTGGACTTTTGAAAGATATTTTGGGGGGGAAAACCCATGTGGTTTTAAGTTGGTCTTTCAATACCACTAACCAGTCAGTGCCTACTTAATAACCTATTCCCCTGCCTTACTACCCATATTCCTGGCTCCTAAAATACCACATGAACTGTTGAACATCTGAGTAAGATGTGACAAACGCCCATGTATTTCCTTGCAGTTGATCACAATGAGAACAAACCCAGATGCGGCCACACAGAACAGAAGGTTAAAGTTCACCCAGAATCAAAAGAAAGAAGACTCCAAGACCTCCACCTCAGTCACCAGTGTGAACCAGACCAACACCTCTCGACTGGATGGTCTACAGACCGATAACCACCGTCTTCGCATGAGGATAACTGAGGTCTGAGACAAAGGGCTTCTTCTTTAGTACTTTTCCTAATAAATGATAATTATGGTACAATACCTAACAGTGGTAATGGGGAGGCTTTTAATGCAATAATAAAAAAAAAGGTTTTAAGCAAAATTAATTACAGGTACAATCATTTTTGCTTGAATTTCGAGAAGAGAAGAAAGAAAGACCAAAGCCTTTATCTCCTTTAAATCGAGGACGTAATAGCTCTCCTGCATGCAGTTCATTTTCAGATTTGTATTCATTTTGTCACCTCTTAGCAGGAGAATTGTTAATACCCACTCTGGTCACTTCAAGAGATTGCTATGATTTTCTGTTCACCCTCACTGATGCATTTAATAGGATTTAAGGATAAATGTTCAGTCTAACATCAGTTATATCTTAAAAAGATAATCTGTCCATTGGGTATCTCTGAGATTCAATTTTGCTCCCTCCTTTTTGTTTATGATTCAGTTGAATAATAACAAATGAGAAGACGAGGATGTTTATAATGGCTTTAGCTAGAAGGTGCCTTGGTCATGGGCTTAGTTAAAGTCCAAAATGCAGCTCAAATGTCAGAGTTTAGTGATAGACAGCACAATTTAGAGTGAGAGAACATGGGCTTAGTACAAGCCTTTAGAAATTGGAGTCTATGGTACAGGATTGGTTATTGCGTTAAGAGTGGATAAAGAAACTCATACCCTTTCAATATTTACCTTACAACAACAAATGTTACAATCTTCTAATGGGATTTTACATAAGATCTATATCTAGTGGGAGTAAAAATATAAATGTCTTCTAAAATGTTTTTAAAAACATCTGTGAGAATCAAATTTCCATAACATAACAGATTATAAATTGGATTTAGCCATTTTAACCAGAGCTACAATGGATTGGTTTGCGAGGAGGTGAATATTTATCCCAATGCTTAGTCTTTTGCAAGCTATAACATTCTTCCATAATCTTATCTAGTTTTTTGGGTTTTTTTCCTGCATTTTGTTGTCATTACACTGTCACAAGTACAGAGCAACGAAATAAACTCCTGCATTTAACCCATCCCCTTGAGGAGCAGTGGGCTACAATTGTGCGGCACCCGAGGAGCAGTGTGGGGGTCAAGGACCCTTGTCCTACATGTAGCTCTATGTACTTTACCAACTATAAGCAATCTTCCCTGCATCCACTTAAAAACATTAACCTTATGTGTTCATCCAACTTAATTATGCTGTTTATTCACTGCTTTCTACTGTTCTATTTGATTTCACACAAGTGCTCCTATTAATGAATTAAGTATCTTTTTTCGGCATTTGGATGAGATGGATTTTACTCCGGGGTTATAAGAAAAATGTAGAGCATAGTTTTCAGATCTTAAATAACAAAAATGTTCACAGCCGTTTATCGTTTCACGCTTCACATTTACGTTTACACAATATATTGATGTTTGTCTAGCACACAAAATTAATATATGTTTTGGTTCAATTACATTTAGTTTATTTAGAAGGCTTCATCTCGTTCATCTCAAAGGCTTTTTACAGAGACAATTCAATTAATCATACAGACAGATAAAGGTTTTCTCTCTAAGGAAACTCCTGCATCGAGTCAGTGAGTTTGCAGAATTCGCTCTACTTTGATGAGCATATGGCAACAGTAGACATTTGTGTTGTCCTACGATGGACTGGCAACCTGTCCAGGGTGTACCCCGCCTCTCGTCGTAGACAGCTGGAGATAGGCACCAGCGCCCCTTGTGACCCTACTAAGCATGCCAGAAAATGGATTGATGGTTTCTAAAGCTTATTTTGAAGTATCACATCAGAAAAACTCGATGGAAACAGTAAAGTTCCAAAAAAAACTCCCTCAAATTCACAAAAAAAAGGTTATGCTTTCTTGAGATAGTTTTTGGAGTTGTATTTAAGGGTTAATGAGTAAAATGGTAGACGGAAACACTTTTTTTAAAGCAGCTCTGACAAAGCAACTTTAACCTCACATGAACGATCAGCTGTTTCCGCTGGCTGAAAGCCAGATATTACTAGCTGATATGTTAATATAAGAATAACTTGACTAATAGTAACATTAATTAAACTTTACTCCATTACTAATCTGTGATCAGGGCTAGATTGCAGCCTCTACTTCCTGTTTACTACAGCCATGCGTGACGATGTAATGTTGACAATGATGTATGTCATCCTTAAGTTTTACAGTGTTTTGTTAATTAACTTTAAACCAAATGGAAGAAAAAAAAGTAACATTTGTATTTACTTTTTTTTTCAACTTTTAGAAGATTGTGTATAGTTTGCATTTCAGTTAAATTAAAAAAAGGATGGTGATGATGAGTAAAAACAGAGAATATACTGTAAAGTTAGAGGTTGAAATGAATGCAGAATTAGACAGTAGAAGTGGAATGAAGCAGAATGATGAAAAGTGGTCCCTATGTCCTCCAGCAGCCTAGGCCTATAGTAGCTTAACTACTATAGAGATAGCTGAGGATAACCTGAGCCACTCTTACAATAAGTTTTATCAAAGAGGAAAATTTTAAGCATAGCCTTAAAAGTAGACATAGTGTCTGCCTTAAAGACCAAAAACTGGTAGTTGCTTCAACAGGAGAGGAACCTGATAACTAAAAGTTCCTCCATTCTACTTTTATAAATTCTAGAAACCAGTAGTCAAACCTGCAGATTGAGAGGGAAGTGCTCTGTTGGCAATATATGGAAAAATAAGATCTCTGATAGAGATTGGTTATTTAGAGCTTTATTCGTAAGAAGGAAGACTTTAAATGATATTCTGGAATTAACAGGAAGCCAATAAAGAGAAGCTAAGATAGGAAAAATATGATCTCTCTTTTTAATTTTCATAAGAACTCTGGCTGCAGCATTTGGATCTTTTAATTACAGTTTGTGGACTTCCTGATAGTAAAGAATTAGTTTCTCACTAATTCTAGCTAGTTTCCAACCCCTTTGTCACTATCACTCCTGGACAAACTATTTCTATTTTCATTATATTCCAGAGATGAGAGAAGGAAATTCTAGAAGCCAATTTAATATGGGATTTAAATTATGTCCTAAGCAAAATCAAAACCAGCTGCTTTTTATGTTAGTATCTTACAACAGTTTAATTCCATCCAGATGATGTGACTGACTAATTAGCTTATTTTTCAAAGGCTCTGGTCCAAACGCAGTTCTCTTTGTCTTAATTCAAAGATAGAAAGTTTAATTTTGTCTCGTTAGAAACAGCTGAGTATCATCAGCATAACAGTGGAAATTAATCCCATGCTGTCTAATAATTGTACAGATTGGGAGCGTATATGTAGTAAAGAGAAGTGGTCCTAGCATTGATCCCTGTGGTATTCCACAGGTAACCCCGGAGCATAAGGAAGATATATCATTGTGAACAAACTGAAATCTGTCACATAAACCAAGCTAGAACAGTTTTCTTAATTCCTTCAAAATGCAAAAACCTTTCTAAAAGAAGATTTTGATGGACTGTATTAAATGCAGCACTGAGATCTAAAAGGAAAAGTACAAATACAAGGCTATTATCTGAGGCCTTAAGAATATCATTAGTGACTTTCACCAGAGCTGTTTCAGTGCTATGATGAGCTCTAAAGCCAGACTAAACCTCATAAATAAGGTCATTATGGTGGAAATCATCACACATTTGTTTAGCAACTATTTCCTCAAGAATTCTTCATAAGAAAATGAGATATACCGGTATGTCCATAATTAATTGCATCATTTAGAACGAGATAAGGTTTATTTAGTAAAGTTTTAATTGCTGCCACCTTAAAAGGCCCTCTGTACATATCCCTGTATTAGATACTGTAGATTAATCATATTTACAATGGAGGTGGAAATCAGCGGGAGTAGTAATAATTCCTTAAAAAGAGGAAGGGAGTAGGATGGATCAGTGTTTGCGACGTAGCAGCATTTGAGACTGGAGGGCAGTGCAGATAGCCAGGTTGATTAAGGTGAGCAGGTGAGGCCAGAGTGCAGCATGCAGGAACAACGTCTCTAATCAGATGGGACAGGGATGGGGTGAGAGAGAACTCAGGCTGCAGGGCTGGAGGTGGAAAAGACAGGCCACCAGTGGCCTTTAGGATTTTTGCTGAGTTAGAAAACTCAAAGCAGCAAATGTAGCACTTTGTTTAACATGCATCGGACTATGTTACTGCCTACTTAAATTACTTTGTCAGCGAATACTAACATACTTGTTCACAACTAGGTGTGTTTTTACGTTTTGACTAATGTTTATCCATATCAAAACACATATATAACAGTCCCTAAAGCTACATACATTTCTATCCTCTCTAAAACAGTTGGACAAGGAGCTTGAAGAAGTGACCATGCAGCTGCAGGACACCCCAGAGAAAACTCCCTACATTAAACAAAACCATTATCCTGATGCAAATAACATCCTAAGCATACGCAACTTCACAGACGGTAAAGGTAAGTAACTATGCATTTCACATATTTCCTGCCTTTCAACAAATGTTAAGTAGAATCTGTTTGATGTGCATATAAGCTTTTCTTCAGGATCTGTAGTAATATACATTCTACCATGATAATAGCTGCAATATTGATCCTACTAGACTCAAACTTTACATTACATTTTTGTGTGTGAAAATTAATACAGAATAGGAATGGGACACCTCCAACTTTAAGACAGACAAATCAAATGTATTGCATACAGTGACTGAGGTAAGATTGTGGGGGATTTCCATATAGAAATAGACAAAATAGTTGTGGCATACCAACCAGACATTGTGATCATTGATAAGCAGCAGAGGACAGCCGTAGCAGTCGATGTGGCCATTCCAAATTAATACTAATTGGCTCAGGGAAGAACCAGAGAGAGCCTGGAAGGTGACGGTAACTGTAGTGTCCATGGTCATAGGAGCATTCAAGGCAGTAACCCTCACACTGGAGAAGTTGGTCGAACAGGTACCTGATTCCAAAAAAGTTTAAAAAAAACAAAACGTCTGTGGGGGGAAAAAAGACATAGATCCTCATCCAGGCTTGCTTAGAGTTTCAAAATGCTTTAATTTTAAACTTTCCTGAATTGCATGATCTGCATCATGCTCTTCAAGCATTACTAATGAAAAGTTCTTTGAGACTTTGGTTGACATAAATAAAATCAAGTCTGTTTGGCAGACAGAATCAGCACATGTAATAAAAAATGGTTAAGAAATGGTTTTGGATGGTTAAAATGACTCATCAGAGCTTGAATTGATCTATTTTCAGTAGAGATTAATCTCTTCCTTATTCTTCTCCACAGCACAGACTGTTTAAATAGCTGTATCTTGGACATTATAAACTCTGCTGCTTTAAATTAAATCAGTGAATCACTGGTTCAGCAGCCTTGCTTTGCATCAGACACTGATTTAAAAGACAGAATGATGGAGAATCCTTTTAAGTTTGGGTAGAAGTGAGAGTTTGGTTTTGTCTCTGTGGACTGAGAGCAGAGTTGGTTGGAATTCTGTGCGATTCCTCATCTGCAAATGAACATTCACACATTAACAAAGCTAATCCCTCTATATGACATGAATTCTTCTTATTGATATATTTATTGTTTTGGGACCAAGGAGAGGATAGGTTTAAATGAAGATGGTTTGTAATATTGTGCTGTAGTAGTGGAGCCTTGCTCCTAGTGTTCACTGGGTGAGAAAGAGATGCCGGGATTATCCTAATTAGTAGGTAATTAATGCATGAGCTACCATCTGGGACAAATTTGACCTCCAGTTTGTTTTTTTATAATAAAAAAAAAGAAAAACAACAAAATTACTACAGCTGAGTTTGGGTTGCCATTCGTATTTTCTGTGTTTCAATTTTTTTTTGGTTTTTCTCTTAGTGGTTTGTTAATTAAAACAAGATATTCATAAGTAAAATATCCCTTTTTTATTTATTTATCTAAACATAAAGTCAAATTTCCTTAATCTCATTATTGTTATTATTATTATACATCAGAATTCAAGTGCTGATAGAGATCTGTCCAAATTGACTTATTCTATTTTTTAAGCATATTTTAAAAAGTTTACCCAAAGTACATTACAAGCCGAGGAAGTAAGACCGACATGAAAATGCTCAAATGTTACAACAAAGAGAAAAGCAGCTCATATCGAGTCTAAGGCCAGTTGAAAGAAACGTCTTTTTAACACAGACTAAAAAAGATAAACAGGAATTAAAGATGCCTGTTCAAAAGTCTTAGTGCCACAGCTATAACCTCAGTCGTATTCATCCTGTCTTGATTATTTTAACAACCGTACTGACTTTTCAATTTGTTTATTATTTCAAGCATGGATGCTCAATAAGTCTTCCCAGTGACTTTATGAATGAGGTCATACTGAGACTCAAAGAAAAGCCTAATTTAAGATGTTGCTAACGGTTTTGAACCACAACCTGGCATTAAAATCCCAATTAATTTAGGTCTTTTTAAAAGATCTACGGCATGTACAGTTTTCCCTGCCTTAGCTGGTTTATGCATCTTCACTGCCTCCTAGCTGCTGGCTTTAGAATTCTTAATAGAGCTGCCCTACATGTGTAGAGGACCTATGATCGAGTTTCTGATCAAGAAAAGGATGCTTTGTCAACCTTCATTACACTCATTCACAGGAGGTTAGATGCAAAGCGTAACTCTCTTCCTCCATCTGACTGTGTTGCTGAATATACTCACTAAACTAAACATCTGGTTTAGTCCAGGTGTGGTGACTCGAAATAGTTACAGATGATTGTTCGAATAGCTTAAAACCATCAGTGTAAATTAAATGATATTTTTTTAAGTTTAGGAGCAGGGGAAAGATGTGGAAGCAAAGATGCAAAGATAATAATGATTAAATCGCTGGAAGAAGCTGCAAATACAAAATAAATTAATTGGTTTCATTTAATTTTTGAACTTCAAGGCTTTTTCGAGTCATTTAAAATGAAATAATACTTTCATTCTGACCATCAAGCTAGATAATAGATAAACAATAACCTGTGATACGAACAATTGTTTTGATAGCTATACTGGAAATAGTAACTCAGATCTTAAGAACTGCTTTTATTTTATTTTAAGCACCCCTTATCAATAGGGGAGACCTTAACAATGTGGGAATAATCTCTTTTATTTAAGCTTTGGTAAAACCGTCTTCTGATAAACTTTACTATTACTACAACAGTAATTTTCATCTTTTTACGTCTACAAACGTAATTCAAGGTTAGATTCTTTAGTGCAGGTTTATTCACAGAAAATAATGATAGACTCAACAAGTTTATATGTCTTATTCTTTGTTTCATCGAGAACCCTATTCATGATATGAAAGCCTCTGACTGAACCTGTATGCTGTCTAAATACAACACAGAAATTTTGAAATATATTTGTCAGCAGTTTTTTTCTACAACTAAGATCTTTTTTTCCAAAACGCAAACAGCTCTAAAATAGTTTAGTAAGCCCAGATGTCCAGTGGAGGAGTGTGATGCTGACATAAGTGAATCAGGTCAGCAAGTTCCGAACAAAAAGGAACTGGGGCATATGAGGGGCAAAGAAGCTTTGCAGTTCAAGCTAAGTGTGCTTGAGGATAGTAAATTCAGTTTGATTTTAAACAATGACAATGATTATGTAGCATAAAATATTTAGAAAAAGCCTAATCTCACACACTCTGGAAGTCTAGCATGACAAGCAAGATTCCTTATTATCTCAAGAGCAACAGCAATTTAAAGCTATGAAAAGAAAACATAACACTACAAGAACAGATTGATTATTTTTCTTAGTGTATCGGTATGCTGTGATAATGATTTTTATCATTACGATACCTGGAAAACCGAGACATTGTTTGATTGTATGGGAGGGTGTAGCAACTAAGACATATATGATGCACCGTTTGACTTAATTTATTCAAAATCTTTTAAACCAGATGGAGAGAAGTCTATACTAAAAAACCACCTGGAGCAGAAACCGCAGGCGCAGTGGGGTTCCATGGATCCTTCCAGAATAAGCAGAGGTCCTTTGGAGGATATCAACTCACCTGAACAGTAAGATCTCCCATTTCCAGAGCACATACATGTCTATGTTCGTCTCTGCCTCCCACCTTCCCACTGTTTAGTGAGCTTTCTCAGCAGATGACAAAATAACATGTAGCGCAACCACCAGAAATTCCCAGGCAGTTGCTCTGGCAACAGAGCCCAATGAACACATGGACCAACCCTGCACTTTTCCCTCCTACACCCATTATGTGAGCACATGTGTGCTCTTTTTCCTTTTAAGACATACAATAGCTCCCATGCAAAATCACCAAGACTTGAAAACCTAGACATGCAGACATTTGGTTTGTTGGACCAACTTGAAAATATGTATTGGATGCTTAAAGCGCTCTTGAAACCAATGCACATCTACGCTCACCAATTATTCATAAGGAAGCAAAGCTGAGGCATGACGGCTTCATCAGTGAGGAGGGGACAGTATTTCATGCATCATTGAGATTTCTGCCTCCTGCGCTGGTTTTAGCAAAACAGGAGGAGAACGCCAGATTGATGGTGAGAAAGAAGTGCAGACGAAAAACGCCAACAAATTAAGAGGAGCCTGAAAGAAAGAGAGGATAGACTTAGAAGAAAGCTGTTTAGACAGACAAGAGGAGAGGTAGAGACTCACATAGGCTTATATAACAACTGATTTACAGCTTGCATTGGAAGCAGCTCTGAAAATAGACAGGGAGGAGAACAGAAGTAAAGGAACACTCGGAGCTATTCCCATGCCACATGAATGTTTGATCACACTGAGGGAAGAGAGATGAAGAGGTAGCAAGAGAGAAGGTGAAGAGGAAGAGAAGACAAACATAAGTTTGAAAAGAGTTATAAAAATAGAAAATGTTGCAAAGACTGAATACTTTGTGACATAATAAATGCAAAGTCACACACGATGAGCAGTTCATCTTTGAATGCAGCATCAGTCAAAGGGGACAAGGTATTCATGAACCAGCATGATTATGTTTCTATCAGACATACAGTCATTATCATTGGCACATGTATAAGACCTTGAATCATTTTAAGATTCCACTAATAATTTGATTTTTCTAGGTCTGTCATTGAACATCCTGGATTTACATTATCCCCTCACATTCTTTTTTTCTTTACATAACAAGTCTATTGGTTATGTAATTTCTTCGCCGACGACTGGCAGTGACTGTGGTGAGGTGGGGTGTGAAGTGTCACACCAGGATGAAAGCATGAAATGTTCTTTTAGTCAGATCATCCTAGAAGCTGGAGGAATGGGGTCTTATAGGCTTAGAAGGAAGGAACGTAAAGCTGGGGGAAAATGGTGGCTCTATTCTACATGGTATAGAAAGAGGAAAATATTGAGCAACTGTAGAAACTTAACTCAGGTAGCCATTTCTTTAAATGTCTGGTATTTCTGGTGTGTTTGTGTTTAAAAGCTTTTACTAAATTGTTTGGATCTACAACACTCCAATATGAACAGAGGAGTGTTATAGAAGCTAGTCATATTACGCCGATTCTAAAAACTCTTCATTGGCTCCCAGTCTCTTTTTCGGTTCCAGTTTAAAATTCTGGTGCTGACCTTCAGGGCCTTTAATGGTCTGGCTCCCTCCTACATTACAGACTTGTTGTGTCCATACACCCCCCCCCCCCCCCTTGGAGGCTGAGGTCTCAGGAGCAGAACTTGTTCATAGTCCTTCGTACTCGTTACAGGATCAGGGGAGATCGCTCATTTCGGCCGCTCGCACTGGCGCTCTGGAACGATGTTCCGCTTTCCTTGCGCTTACTGGATTCTGGTGACATTTTAAGTGAACTGAAAACCTATTTGTTTAAGAAAGCATTTTAATTCCAGTAGACTAAGGGTTGTTTTATTGCCATATGTCTTTTGTGACTGTAAATGTATTTTATGTGTATTTTAATTTTGTGAAGCACTTTGTGCCCTCTATGTCTGTGAAGGGTGCTATATAAATGAATATAAACATTACCTGTTACCCCCTTGTACTCACGTCCTTTCATTTCCCTTTAGCTCCCTTCTAGTTAGTTTCATTCACACCTGCTTCATATTCAGCTCATTAGCCCATCCTTTGCTCTGTTCTCCATATATACACCAATTCTGCAGTTCCTCGTTGCTGCTTTTTTGTTCTTTTGTTGCTCTGTCATCTCCTTGCTTCCATGTGTGTTTTTCCCTGAGGTTTTCTAATTTTTTGGTTATCAGTATTTTGTATTTTTTGTAGTTTTGCCAACAAAGATTATTTCTGCCTACTCATCGCAGCTTTTGGGTCCTAAAACAACTCCACTCAACTTTGACAGATAGACTTCATTTGTTATGTTACAATCCAACCAATCAGTTGTTTCTGTTTTTGGAAACTGTATTTCAGCTTAATCAATTTATATCCAGATTACATAGATAATGATATGACTCTTGTTTAGTTCTTCTGTTTTTAATTTTACATAGCATACAGGGAGCAAAACAAAAGAGTAAAAAATCTAGACTTAATTTATATCATAATTAATTGTCTTAGTGGATATAATTACCAAGGGATATAATTTGATGACAGAGCCTTCTGATGCATACAGGGGGTGGATCCTAGTTGCTTTTGAAAATCAGTGATGCAATATTAAATCTGTGCTTGGCAATTCACCATGGGGCCAAATACATGAAAGCAGTCCATGAAACTTGATAAACCAACAAGTGAGTGATCCAATAGATGTCTAGATTTATTTGACTTTCTGAACCTGAAGTAAAAATATATGCACGGACGCCACTGGCCAAGGCAAAGCTAGAAGCACTTACCTTCATCTGTTTAACAACCTCTTTGAGTCTACATAAATCATCAGCTTATATTCTGTGAGAAGTAAGTTTACACCACATGAATAGCTAAAATCACACCAGCCGAGAACTCATACCTACACAAATCAGTGTTGTTTTTTTTTGGTTAAAATGAACTTTCAGATTAGAGACACCTAACATACTTAGGTATTGCCTACATGGGTACAATCAAATTATGTACAATACGTTACTTATATTATTAGTCATTATAATGTATTTTCTGACAGAATCCCTCTTGCTTTCTTTCCAGCATACAGCGTCGACTGTCCTTGCAGCTGCCTATCCTGCACCATGCATACTTACCTTCCATAGGAGGTGTTGACGCCAGTTGCACCAGCCCCAATGGAAGCCCGGGTTCAAGTCCGAGGCACAGACACATGCCCCCTTCTTACAGGGTAATGGTCTCTGGCCTCTGAGCCTCATTCATCCCCCTCACCCCCAACCTTGCTCTTTGCTGAGGAGAACAAATGGTTCTATTTTCTACAACTAATAGACTGATATTGTCAGCATATGTGCGTATTGCGTCTTGGACTGAAAAGAAGTTGGGGGTGAACAAAGAGAGGGGAGGGGGCAAAGGTTCACTTGTCATACCTCTGCACTTGGGTCTTTTGAGGACTGATGCCAGTCAAAACTGGGTGGGAGAGGACAGTCGATGCTTAACTACTTCTGTGATTAACATCCCCTCTGCCATCTTCCTCCCTGCTTCGGCGTGCTTACACATATGCCATGTCAGACACAGATTTCTAGAACAGAGATGCACCCCAATGTCCAAGCACACTGACACCCCAACAGCAGCATTGGACCAGCCCTAAACTGACATGTAGCCTTATCTGCTTCAAAAGGGATTGTTTCTGTTTCTTATCTGTTTTGTGTACTATATGTGCTTGCAGCTCCATGTGAGCCATCTAACATTTTATCGCTTTAGTGATTGGATATGAGTTCAGGAGCAACAAGGTGAATCTTCAAGATCCTACTAAAGAAAGCATCCCCTGTCCACTTCTCTAGCCTGTGTGGAAATGTAAATATCATTGCTTTTGACACTGGTGTACTGTAAGCTTTGCATATGTTGTGAATGGATAAATCAATAGGATTTAAGTGTGGCGCTTGTAACAAAAGCAGGTGAGAGCTTATAAAAATATTACATCGTACAAATCAGACAGAGGCATACATTTGATTAACAAAGCTGTTGATATATTAACTTACAAACAGCATGGATAAAAACAGAATCTGTCAGGGTCCCACGCCTCTAACTTGGAGTGAGATGCACGTTGCTCTTTTTTTGTTTCACTTTGCTATTTTTTCTAGACTTGTTTATGACAGAGACCTCCTGTCTGTCTGTAAAGGCCTTCATACTTTACAACTTAAGCAGCCCGTCTTCAGACAGCATGTTTTATAGAAATACTAATGCTATGCCTTTTTCACAGTTCTCAAAGATATTAGAGCAAAAAAAGGCCAAAAAAATAAATTGGTTCACAGCTTTTCTTTTGTTTTCAGATGCCAAGAAATTAAAATACACAAATATAAACATGGAACCCAAGAGAGCTCCTGGCAAATTCAGGTGCTGTTGACGCTACTGATGGGTGAGGTCAAAACGAAGCTTCGTCTTTATACACTGTTAAGATGTCTGCCCTTGCTTTCACGTCTTACCAGCACAGTTGAGGGAAACGGGATCCAACAATAGCACAAAGTTACAAGACTTTGAGGAAAAGCTCTTAAGAGAGTTAAAATGATAGTAAGCAAGGGTGGAAAAAATGTAGGTCTACCAGGTCCTCGGCTTGATCGGACCGAATGGTTAACCTGAATTTCCATGCACAGAAGCAGACGGACATGTTCAAGTCTTGCATAAGTACCAAACTGTCTGCAGATTTGGTTTCAAAGACAGCGCTGCCACCACTGCTGGTCCCGGTGATTTAGCACAGACACAGGGCTTTCCCTCATAGATAATAAGTGTCATGAAAGATCAATCCACTCTTAGCAACAGTGAACAGTTGCTACAGAAATGAAACTCAGTGCTGTGGAGCTTCACCTAAGATCTTCATCAAGAGTATGGATGTTGTTTGTTACTTTTTTTTCCTAATGCAGGAGAAAAAGCAAATTTGGGAGAGGGGGGCTGCTCTCTGCAGGAAAAGGACTTTTTTTTATTCTGAGCGATAAGGTTCGTTCTCAGTATGTTGTTTCACCATCGGTGTCTTGGTTTTATTTATTTTTTTCAAGGCGTTTCTTCAGCGCCGTGCCTGTTGTCTTATATTGTAGCCTGCAAGACCCACAATACATACAAAGGGTTCAAACTGCGCTTAACAAGTAAAAGTACATCAGCCCTATCTGTAAATGGAACAATGCGTCATAGACCAATCTGATGTCCATCTGTCCGTGGACAGGGATAGCTTTGGGAGCGCCTGGTCAAAGCTCCACTTCAGCCGGAGGATATTTCTCCATAAACACAAACGCTTCTCAGAAAAATTGGAGGATTCGGAGTCGAAGCGGAGAGTCGAAGACCTGCTTTCAGACATATCGGGGTTTGAGCTCCTCCCATTCCCAGGCCCCTGCCGCGAAGCGCGGGGGCAGGGGTGATAAAAGAAAAACCCAAGCACAGACCTCAAAAGGGAGTCATGACTTCTCCTGCACCTTTGCCAACCAGAGAATCACAGTCACAGAACATGTGAGTGGGAGACATTAACAGAGGGTTGGATCTTCCTTCAGGAGAAGCAAAAAACCGACCGCACATTTTATATATTACATTATATGTGATTGTGTACAACTTTGCTGATACCCTGATGACAGTGTCCATGTATGGAGTATTTGGTATTTGGATTTCTCAAGATGGCATGAAATAAAATGTATAATTCACAGAGTTACCTCTGTTTTTTGCAACTGTTGTGACAAAGCTACTCTGTTGTTCCATCATATCACCTGTAATTTGGTTTTCTTCTACAAAGTGTCCACACACCTGTTCAAATGTCAGGGCTTTGTGATGTAAAACTGAGACTATGATACAATTTCCCCACCTTTAATGTGACTTTAAACCTGCACCACTTAACTGAAAAAATCTGTTAAGGTGGAAGGGATGCAATAATAATCCATTTAGATTCAATTTATTCATGCAGCTTTCTGGAGGGGATAGTGAAAAGTCAGCCTTTGCTAAACCATATTTAGCCACATTACCTTGTTAGTAACATTTTTTTATATTCAATTCATTCTATTGTTGATTTAAATATACGCTTGAACACATTGTGATCAAAAAACAATCAATGAATGGATACTAACTAAAATCCCTTGGTCCGCTCTGCAGCAGACTTCTGAGCATTTGAGGATGGACTGGAGTCTGACAAATAACCCAGAGAGTATTAACCCCAGCGCATGATGCAGCCAAGACCATGTTTCACTGTTTACATGGTGATCTTTCTGTAATGTAATGTGCTGTTTTATGTGCAATATTTTTAGTTTTAATTTAGTCTCATTTGATCACAATACATCTGCCAACCAGTTTTTAGGAGATTTTATCCAGAACTGGATTGTTTATTATACAAAGATTTCAGCCTAGTAACCTTAACCCTAACATTTTCAAAATGCATTTGTTTTAGAAACTGTGCAGCTCCATCACAGATTCACATTTCACAACAAATATGAGGCATTAAAGCCGTAAAAGTTTTTATTTTTTTATTTTTATTTTTTTTAATGAGTACCATATGTCTTCTTTTATGCTTTCCAAAGCTGACATTTTAACAGGGGTGTACACTGTTTTTAAATCCACGGTATTTTCCTACAAGCTTTGGTTTCTGTTATTTTTAGCTATTTATCAGTTCACACATGTCAAAGCCAAGATGCTCAGTGAACTAACTAAACATCATCTCATCTAACATGCTACTGAACGAGCACCTGTTCACTGAAGGCAATAAAATAAAGGTAGCAGCTATCGAACAAACTCAATAATCTTGTGTGACAAAAAAAAAGAAAAAAAAAAACAGCCTATCATTTTCTTTCCGATCAGTCGAAAAATATCAAATGCAGATCATCAGGTGTTGTTTTTTTTTTTTTTATGTGCCCTATTTCTATTCCTTTATTTCAGTTATTCTCATAAACAAACAAATTTTACAAATGCAATTGTGGTGGGTCAAGGGCTCATAATAACCTGTAATAAATAGCATCATGCTGATAGTTTGTATTTGCCACAGGTCTTTTTACCTTTTCAGTTTGAAGATCAAAGTGACGTATATGAGGATATCTTTGTACGTTAATCGTCAGGTTCTCTGGAGTAAATCAACACAAACCCAGATATGATACACTATATAAAAAAGAACAAAAAAACATATTCAATGGAGACACACAAAAGGTCCATGCTGTTACTGTTTTGTCAGTTTGATATGTGGTATGACATGGCATTACGTTCTAATAAAAATGGTGAACAAAAACCTATGTTAAATGCAACATGTTCAAGAGGGGCAATAACTTGTTTTCTTATTACAGAAAGAATAGAGAACTATATATATAAATATTATATATGTATATGTAAAGATCTTTACGTACATTCTCATTTTTACATAGGGAACATTTCACAAATCTGAAGTCTTCTTTTTATTTACAGTATCTGTAACTATGTTATGTACAGATGAGGTCTAGATATGAAAAACTTGTATAAAATGAGTATCACACTTGGAACACCTGAACATTTTTTTGAGCCATTGGTTGTTATTTGGGGGGGAGGGTTGGGGATACTTGAAAATCATTCTTCTTTTGTTGTCTGAATGTTATGGGCAGCCTTTACTTTTCACATCATCGTTAAATAAAGTGTGACTGAAAACATTGCAGTGTTTATTTTATCCTCACCTGCTGTGAAAATGCACATTATAAAAGATGATGATCAATATCAACACATAACGACAACAACAGTGTGTAAATAATGTAATGTGAACTGGTAGGATCAGTGGTTTGTTTTATTCTATTCAAAGAAATCAGGTTGAAAATAGGGTTTATCCTTGTTCTGGTATTAAAATGATAGGGATGATAAATTCAACCATCTAGAGCACTTTTTTGCTTTTACATATTTTTTTTTTCTTTTTGGTTAAGTGACATTATAACACTTACATACATTTTTCTTTACAATTCAGGTTGGAAAATGTAGATATTTTTTCATCAATGACAACTTCATTATCACCTTGCATTTAAAAAAATAAATAAATAAAAATAAAAAGCTAGGGTGATAAGAAGACAAAAAAATCTTTGATTTTTAATTTTTTTTTTTTTTCTGTATATTTCAGTTAACAGTCATTTTTTTCAGTCCAGGTTGCAAAAACAGCAAAAGGTTCCTGAAAAAAATCATGTTTTCTGTGAGGTTGTTCCATAGATGAAGAGAGAAGTAAACCCTTGTTAGGTTCTGGTCACCATGTCTGGTGATCTGGAGGTTCTAAAATGTTTGGTCTAAATTAGTGCTGCAACTAACAATTTTTTTGCAAATAGATTAATCTGTCTATCAAATTTACATTTAACATTTTTTTTTTAAATGCAAAATGCTTTTACAATTTTGATATAATTACTGCTCAAAGTGAGTTTTTCTATCAGCTAAAGGTATGTTTTACCTTCTCTATACTCCATTTAACAATTGATTAATTACTAAATTAGTAGACCATTATTTCAATAATCGATAAATCACAATTAATCCCGTAGTTGTTTCTGACCTACCGTAGTCTAAATATATATCAGATCTGCTGGTTGGGTGCCATCATTTTACAAATAAGCCAGTGTAGTCTAAAAAAGGACTAAAATTGCAGTTTTTTTGGTCTTAAATAAAAGCATGAAACAGTAGTTTGTGTTTCATGGTTTGACAAATTTGTTTATTCTGGAAATGTCTGCTGATGTAATGAAAAACAAAACTCCTGCAGTTAAAATTTAGACCAAAGATGATAGAGCACCTACATGGCATGCTAGTTTTCTTTTAGTTGTTTCATAGCCTAGCATTTCTGAGGTGACACATTACTTTGTCTTTTCTTCATTAAGATGAAGAAAATCCTTATCCATCTTCTTATTCATAATATGGACGCTGTCTTTTAGTGACTATAAGAAAAAGTGCTGTCACAGAAATACTGTGCATGTCAACAGCATGCACTAAAGAAATGCTTTATATAACTTCATAATCTGAGTTTAGGGGAACATGAAGATATAAATAAAATTGGCTTTTATATTAACCCCATATCCTAATATCTAGACTTAGACAAACTTTGTCATATTAGGAAATTAGGAAAATGAAATTAGGGACAAAAGGAAAAACCAGTTTAAAGTCATGGTGCAAAAGGTGTTGATATGGAAATGTTCAGTGCAGTTTAAAATAAATATGGTGCAAAATGCAGTAGAACCTTGAGTTGTGTATTTCAAGGAATTATAAACGGAAAAAAACAGCCACATTGGTAGTGCAAATATGATGTTGCAAGTGTGATGCAGGGTCTAGTGTAGAGTTAAACAGTTCAACGTTCTGACGGCAGCGGGAAAAAAGCTGTTGCAGAATCTGCTGAACCTCTGGTAGAACAGTTGATGTTACGGACACGCGTAGCTGGGATGAAATGTCTTTTATGGAGGGAAGAGGAGCCCCAAGGATCCTCTGCTGTCCTCATCACTATTCTGACATGCTTTCAGTATGAGGCGCTGCAGCGTCCACACCACACAGGGAGACAGCTGGGCAGAATGTCTCTATGGTGCTATAAATGAATCTATAAATGCCAAATGATGCTAGGTATTCAACAGTTTGCTGATAAAGATCTCAATCATACAGGTAGCAGATTTCAGTTATTTCTAGGTAGGTTTTACTCATTCACTGATTTGGAAAACTATCCTTTTCATAAGAGCTAATAAGATCTCTGCTGGTCTGCTGCATGAAATCTACATTTTTAAATTTTTTTTAACCAAACATGTGAATTTGGTTATACATTTGCCAGGCTTTATTTTATTTGTATATTGTTGTTTATCCCTTGTGCCAATCACAGGATTAGGACTAAAGGGAAGCTTACTTCTAAACCAAAGGTCAGCACATATTGTACACACACACAGATTAGACAAACTAACAATAAAAGGCAAACTGCTGCCTCTTTAAAACACTACTTTGCCATGCTGGCTTTGTTTCTCTCACAAAAGCCTGAAATGTCATCATTTTAATGGTGTAAAAACGGTGCTCTTATTTCCCACTTTAAACTCAGGCTATACCTGAGAGAGCTATGGCTGACTCAGAGGTATAATAACATAATCATCCCAAATATTTCCTCATTCACTTTTTTTCTAAAGCAGGACTCTAGAGGTCTGGCAAACCTTTGTCAGAGACTTAATTTGCTGTGCCACTGATCCCCATTTTCAACACTAATCTCTGACATTTAAAGTTCTTTACATGTGACTTCTTGTGCCTCCAAACGTACATTATCAAAAAATTGTCAAGGGGTAATCTAAAAAGCCATCGAAGGACTGCACAATGCATACATTGATGCATTAAGGAACGCCCCAAATAAAAGTCTCCCTAAAAATCAATCAGATTCTTCAGTTTTACCATGAAACCCTACTAGTAATGCTTGGACAAAATGATATAAAGTGGGGAATATCCTTTTGAGGTATTGCTGATTTATCCCCACACCTCATGGCCTGAGAAACCCCCACCTTCTTGAGGAGCATGTGTCCTGAATGAAAGACACCTTTAGGATAGCATGATCTATGACTGGACTGACTTATGGCCCCATAAAACAGCTGCCACCCAATACATTTATAGCTAGCTTATAATGACAGCACACCTGGCTGAGTTCAGAGTAAATTTCCCAATATCAGTTTGTCCTTGAAAGCTCAAATAGTTTGAAGTGATTAACCAGAATTTATGGTTATATTTAACAGAGAATGTAATGAAATGGAAAAAGAAATGCCTATGAATTTCTTTTGACTGGACAAATGGAGGCTTAAATCGTTAGAGCATGATCTGAAAAACAGAGTAGATTTAGGATAAGGTGCTGGTCTCCTCTTGGTTTTAAACTTGCTGGTCACCAAGTTTAGCAGAAATTGATTTAAGTTAAACATGAGCAGCTACTGCGTTATAGATTAAGGTCCAAGTTCCATGCTTTGGCAAATATCACACTTAAATTTAGAAGATTGACTGATACGTCAGCATTATTTTTCTTTTGCATCAGCCAATAGAGGAAAGCTTTCATCAGGTTTGCCTTTCAATCAGGTTAATTGCAGCTCCCTCTATCTGATATTCATTTGTTAAATCTTTCCTTTATGAGACTTGTGTAGCATTTTTGTTACTGTGACATTTTGAACGCACAAATGAAGAAAAAAAAAAAGCAATATTGGCTCCAAGGATCCACTAAGAAAGATCAGCACATATTGGGCACCAATTAGACTGTCAAATTAATCAGCATCTGTTGATCTCTAATTTATATCTATTTAGGTTTTTCTTTTTTAATATTGTAGCAAATTGCGACAGATGTTATTTCAATGCACCTCAGAAGATAATCAGTCAATCCGTGGTCTATACTCGCCTGTATGCAGTGCTCCCTGAACAAGCAGTCAATGCATCACAGGATTCAAGCAAATATAAGTTACAGTGGTAGTATCTGAAATCATAAGATAATGAGTTGCCAAACATTTTAAAGATATCTAAGAGATTAGAGTCACAGACTTTGTAGAAATCTCTCCTCCCAAGCAAGCTAGGAATGAACTCTGCAGCCTCTGGTTATTTACTCTCCTGCCTCTTGTTTGCCTTCTTTCTTTTCCAAAACTCTTAATTTCAGACAAGTAAATAGAACCACTTGTGAGCTACAAGTCTGAGCACAACTGAAAAGTATAAAATAAACAAACCACCTTTTATTTACTTTAATTCAAATTTTTTTTTTTACAACAGTATAAACGGTCATAATTAAGGTTCAAAAGAAAAAAACTTAAAGTTACATGGTGAGGCTGACTTCTTTAAGAATTCAGTCTGACATATATATTTCTATAGGCTTGAGTTAGTCTAAATAATGTCTCTTCCGAATCGGTCAGTCTGAAGTATCCAACCCAAATGCTGCACTGTATTCGCAGTGTTTTTATCGTCCTGCTTCCACTCATCAAACCCGTTTGGCTCTTTGCAGATAGACTCCGGGGCTTTGGTGCAGCAGGTTCTGTCCTTTGACTGACCCACGGCCTAACTTCCTGTCACAGGAACTGAATGGTTTGGGACAGAGCAGCTGTGGCCTCTGTGGCCCACGCAGGCCTGTGGCCCTCAGTCCAAGTGACTCTCTGCTTGCAACAGACATAATAGTGTCAGCGGTGGCGGTGCTAAAGAGCCCGTTTGTTGATGTTGAAGATTTTGACAGAGTGGTCGGCACTGGCACTAGCAAGCTGGACCCAGGAGCTCTTCTCTTCGAGTTTTCTGTCTGTGTCACTCAGCCCATCCATCTCGCTGTTCTCTAGACCTGCCCGACCGGCCCGGGGCCTCCAGCAGAGCCGCTTCACCGCCAGAGTGTGACTTTGTCTTTAGAAGGACGTTTGTTAAGGGGAAACAACATGCAAAATGTAGACAAATATCCAGCATAAATCCTTTACAACAGCTGCAAATTGTCCTCAAAAGTAAAAAAAAAAAGAGAATGGTAGAACTAAAAGCTTAACCTGGGAGGTAAAAACACTGTTATCATCTGATAAAAAAAAAAAAAGTAAGACTAAGAAAAATACAGGGTAGTTGCAGGGTAGGGACAAGAGGGAAGGTTACCAGAGGACAGGAGGTCTTCTAATAGAACATCAGAAGAAAAATACTTGTCTGTAGTTGATTTCAGATCTCTTAAGGTAATAACCCAAAGAGCAACTGAGAGACAAGACACACACAAACACACACTGTTTATACCTCCTGCCCTGTTTATTTTTCCCCAACAAAACATGAGCGCAAGGCTTCTTTACTCAGCACACATCAAACAGGAGCAGACTGCTCTAATGGAAGCAGAGATGCCAACAAGACATTTCCTTCCAAGTCAAACAGAAAATAAAAATGCTCTAATTAGATGGATGCCATCTAGTCTGCTTGTAAACCATAACATACTACCTTTATCTGCAAAGTAGATTACTTTCTGTACATAAACTGACAAAAAAAACAACTAAATAATATGAGGCAACTTTCAGGGCACAAAGCAGATTTGTGACCTAAAGATTTGACGCATAGGAGTTATTTTAAATGATTCATCAGGCCAATATACAACACTTGACACTATTAATGCTACAAGCGGGGTTCCCCCTTGAAATATTAACTATGTAAGTCAGGATAAGGCGCACCGTTATTGGCCAGGTCATGTGACCTGGAAGAGCGTATAGCTTTAGGGCTTCAGGCTCTTACGTATAGTCATAGAGCTAAGGATTTTGTTCCACTATTTATCTGCCTGCTCAACTACTGGTCATGGCTGAGGCAAGGAATAAGTTAAAACTTTCTGAGGAGGCTATAAAGAGAAAACAGGAGAGGGATCAAGGGTGAGGAAAAAACAGTCGATCTTGGAAAGGAGTTTATTCGTAGGCGAAGGCTGAAAGAAGAAGCCGAATTAGACTTTATTAGACTGGTAAGTTATCACCTTGCTCCTATATATATATTTATTACTTTCAACATTTAGTAGAAGCAAAATGCAGGCAGAGAAATCTAGCATGCTATAAACAAAAGTTAATCGAGATGCCAGAACTCTGCCGCTGGTCCTCTGCATGGCGTGAAAAGACGCAAGAGGCTGACTGGCTGACTGTTTACTTTTGCGACAGCGCTGCGGCGCTTCTGGCCACAAGGATTGCTTGACGTAAAAGTTACAGGTCTACGCCCCTAGTAGCAAAAAGTTAAATGGTGTGCCTTTAAACAGAAAAGCTAAAATAGGCATCCAAAAATAGACAAGTTAAAAAGATTAAAACAGAAAGTATAGATAAAAATAGAGTTAAGTTCTCAGGATTTACAAGAAGCTTAGGTAAGCAGTGCCCGCCCTCACCGTGTGGGATACAACGCCGCAGAAACCGAGTTCAGTCTGATTGCACCTTAAGGGAATGACTTGGGTGTAAGGTTTTGATTGTATGCAGATGATGAAACCGCTTTAAGGCTACTTCAACAAATCACAGTGAATTGATATATTTTAATAATATTTTGGACCCCTACGTAATTAGACTTTCTCTAATTAGGTATCTTTAAGGTTTGGTTGAATGCCCTTGTTAAAGAGCAATAGTTTAAAAGAGCAGATTCAGAGTTAATTCGAAGATTGGCTGCTTTCCCAGTTTATACCTGCATAGTTGACATTTGGTCCCTTTCTACTTCCATCGTAATTATAAATAAATACAAATAAACTTTGCTTAAAATTCTAAGGTACAATCTAATTAACCATATACATTTATCTCCCCCTCATTTCCATTTGTTCTGGGTTATTCGGTTCCTATCTGAGGCAGCTGACTCCTTTAAAACATTTTAGATTATGACTCCAACTAAAACAACTTGTCCTTCAGCTGGTAGATATTGAAGCTCTAGCTGATAAGCTTCAGATGATGTTTTGAAAGGATACAAGGAGTCCGTTTCAGCGCAGCTAATCCAGTCACTTCCTGCAGCTCCGTCGTGACACGGTCTCCACCTGTAGAGCAGGATTTTTCCGCACTCCAGACCAACGGCGAGCAAATAGCTGTGAAAAGGGGCAGAGCAAAAATCCATGTCTAAATACTGAAAAACAAAAATCTATAGTTGCTTTTTAATCTTATGTCTAATTTCAAAAAACCATCTACTACAGTATTAAAATGTGCCATAATGAGGTGATATCTTTTAAAATAGAACCGTAAAACAGAAATAAATGGTAAAAATATCACATTTAATTAAGTTGCGTTATAAGATACTGCACCTAAACTTTACACAAATAATCTGTCAGTTGGTTCTCGTGTTAAAATACAGGTTTTACATGGAATCAGAAAGCAGTTTAATGGATTTTAAGTAATGGAACCTTAAAGTTAAAGATAAAGTACTATGGTAAAAAGCCAATATTATAATTTTAATAATACATTTATGCTTAAATAAAGTGCTGTATAAACATAATGACAATGTCGGACATTTTCTGTCATTTCTACTGGAACACCTCCTAGCTTCTATGCATTCACCAGGATTTCATCAAATGCAGCAACTGGAATTACTGAATATATGAATCTAAAAAATTATGGTGGCTCATTTGAACCATCTTTCAAATTCTCATTACTTTGGTAGAGAAAAACCACCAGTTTTAACTCCAGAACAAGCAGAGTTCTTTGGTCCTGTTAAAGGAAAGCTTGGCATGATGCTGCAACCACCAGGGAGGATGATTAGTGTTAGAGCTCTGCTCCACTGACACCTGGGACTACACCATATTTACTGCATTATTGGAAACTGCAACCATAGCTTTTAGTGGCTCTCTCAGCAGAGGTTAAATAAAAATGCAATGAGTTTCATTTACACAGAAATAAAATAAACAGTTTTTCTTAAATTGTCCAACAATGTGCTACTTTGTGTATCTCTGTCAAATAAAACTGCGAAAAAACAAAGCTTGTAGTTTTAGTTGTAAAGTAGAACCGGATCAGAACCTGCTATCAAAGCAAAGGGAAGGACAGAAAGCTACGGCCGTAGCAGAATCCCCAACATCCAAGACGGAGGAACATGGTTTGATCTCCAGAGGCATCGGTTCTTCAGAGTTCTCCAACATGCACGGCCCCCACACTATCACCTAAACACACAGAAAGCATACATTTCAACCATCTGGTTTCTGTATTTCATTATGTCCAAATCAAATTATATTTAGAAGTTTTGGAATTGGATGAAGATTTGACGTTTACCTTCTTGTCCCTGCTGGATGTCACAAAGTATTTGCTGTCGGAGCTCCAGTCACATGACCAGATGATTCTGCTGTGCGTGGCCGTGTCCTTGTTTGTGTGTGCGCACAGTGAGAAGAGAGGCTCTGTGGGGGAATAAAGAGGAACACAGACAATGGGGAAAACTAAACTCAGGTACAATACAAAAGGTGTTATAAGTCAGATAACATGTTTCATTCATCTCCATTTCAGCAGGGAGGAAGAGCTGATGGTGAAACTCTGTTATGATTATGATAGCATAACATCAGCATGTCTGGATTCCTGCTTGTCGATCACATTTGCCTTGGTGACAAATAAACAATTAAACATGATAGAGAACCTCCATTTCAGCCTGTTTTGGTTTATGACCCGCTGCTGTTTATTTCCTGGGCCCCAAGTCATCTTAGAGCCTAGATTGGTTTTCCCCGGATAGCTTTTTTGTATGCTGCTGACAGCTGCCTCCCTGCCTGCCTGTCTGTCTGCGAGTCCTCGGTCGTCACGCTCCGCGCTGACGCCCATACGCTCACACAAAACTAAGCGGGCAGGTACGTACAGCAGTAAAGTCTCACAGTCAACAAAAGACTGAGTCGAGCATTTTGTTGTGCTGTTAAAACACTCTCCTCTGGCAAAAACAAGCACAGGTTTACTGTTAGGGGGCAAAGACGTGCTGCAGCTTCATCCATTAGCGGGAATCTGAAGGACAGGATGGCTCTCTATTCTGATCACATAGAGATGAAACAAATAAATAAATAAATAAAAGCCAGAGTGAATCAACTGTAAGAGCAGAGCAAAACATATTTACACAAAAACTAAGAGTCAGGAACAAAAAAGGTCAAAACTATCAACCTGGGGTTTTCAATCCACTTGGGGAAGAAAGGCATCTGAAACAAACACAGGAGGTGTGTGAATAGAAAGAAGACTGTTTGATGTGCGCCGTCTTCACTTAATGTAACCGGTGAGGCTGTGTTTGCATTCCCCACAATCACCTTGAGTGATTCAGCAGTCAAGCAGAGCGGACGGGAAGTCCCGACCTTGCCCTTGCATGCACCCATCTCCGTCTAAACCGCAGGCGCTTCGCCTCCGAACGGCCGTGCTATACAGGGCGAAACTGAAAACGCAGGCCTGGTTATCCTCTGTCGATACACATTAGAAACAGTCCAGAAACGCCAGCAGAAATGAGAGTTCCAGCAAAGGTGGGAGGTAATCCTTTGGGCTTAAGTGTCTTGCTCTGCTCACCGTGAATGCAGGATCGAGTTATTTGTCTGAATTAGGGAGCAGAAATGTTCTTATTGGAGAAAGACCCACCGGTGAAGCCTTTCTGTTTACATCCAGGAATAACAGAAATCCAGGATTATTAGAGAAAATCCTGCTGTCGGATAAATGATTAAGAGATGTCAGAGAGGTCACATCTGTAAGACTCAATGAGTTTCATCTCTAAAACAAAGACATGTACATGTCTGATTATTCAAATTAATTGCAGGTCAAAGGAAACTTCCCAGAACTATGCTGGAAACTTGACCCCAACAGGCGCTGGAAATAAATAAAACTCCTTTAAAAGTAATCATCTCCCTCAGCTCTGTCTAACATTTATAGTAATTATAAGTAAAATAGGAAAACTGAAACAGTTTTCATTACCAAAATCCCCCCTTACCCTGGAATTAGAAAATTCTCAGCCCAGTAACTTTTGCCAAATAACTTCAATATAGATAGAAGTTTACTAAGGACTTCAATAGGAGATATTTCTACTACCGGTATTTGGATGGAAAACATACTTTTACCTTTTAAGCAAATGTTAAAAGAATAATTAATTAATTGTTTTTCTGATTTATTGCGATGATATAATAAGAATTCATCTATGTCTAGACAAAGATAAAACAATTTTACAAAAGAAAAAAAAATAAAAGTACACAGAGGAAGACATTGAAGTAAACTTAGGCAAAATGTCTCAAAAATAAAAAAAAATACACAATAAAAAATGAGTGCATGCTTGAGAATAAACTTTAAGAAATTGGCTTAAGGATAATGGATTCATAATTGGAAAGAAGTTGGACTAAAACAACCATGGGGAGGAGACATTGTAGGAGACATTGTGGTCATCAGAATGTCATCAATTGCAAGCAAAAAAGCCACACGGTCTTTACATTACACAGCCTTGACTAATGAAACTCCCTCCCCCTATTGGCGGGAAATCATGGAAGATATTCACTGTATGGAAAACTTAACATCTTCTTCTAACATCTTTTACATATAAAAGGACAGACCTACAACAAACGCTGGACTAAATGGCTGACATACAAGGGCAAGAAAACATGACTAGGTGTAACATCTTGTAAAGTTTTTTATTTCTTCCTATTTAAGTACAAATTTGTGTCCCAAGTTCTCTGTTTTTTATGTTTCATTGTAATGAAAAATGTTAAATAAAGAGTATAATTTAAAAAAAAAACAACCTTAAGCACATTAAAGAAGTCCGGGTTAGTGTAGAAAATGCAGTCATGGTCTGTGGATCATTAGAAGACAGAAATCACTCCTAAACCTGCATTGGTTAAGGAGATGATGCTGGATTTGATTGAGACTCCAAACTAGATGATGCAGAAATTCATTTCTGGATGTTTGAGGTTAAATCTGTTTTTCCAGTTGAATTTCAACTTTCCACTCATCTATGAGCAGTAAGAGAATCATTAAAATGAAATGTGTTCAAGAAGACGACGGATATTACAGAACGGTTGAGAGCAGATTGTCTCTCCTAACGAGTTAGTGACTCCACGGTTACCTCCTCCATGGTAATGCTCTGATTTATGCTCCCCTTTTCTGGTCTGAACATTCATGTCTCGGTAGATCTACAATTGTACCACACAATTTTAGGATTATGGATTCAACTTTTTCCTGTGAGAGGTACAGATCTTGGGAGATCGTTTTAAAATAAAGCTCTACTTTAAAGTCAACAGGTTGATCAATCAACCTCCTCTAGTGTTCTTTTTCATTATGAAGCTGGTTGTCTCCCAAAAAACCTGAAAGGCATCAGTAAAAAACTGGCACTCAGGTAAACTATTGCTGAACAGGTTGAGTAAATCTACGGTTGTAACCTGCTCAAAATTAGTATTCCAAATGGTTTGTACTTTTTTTTTATATATACTGTGGAAACAGTTACAGAAACTGTGTTTAAACCTCAAGTTATCTTTGAATATAGCATTTCCAGCATTACCTGCCTTTTGGCCAAGTTTCTATCAAACATCATTTGCTTGGCTTTTCACAGTCCCAATTACTGGAGTCCTTCCAAAAAGGCCAGCTTGACTTTTGAATTTAATTTGGCACCGATGTGTTCATTGGGTTTACCTTATTTTAATTAATTCAAGTTGAAATGGCTCGTTTCTGCCAAAAATTGCTCAGATGTTGTCTTTTTATGTTGACATTCTGTCAAACATTTTTTAAATTAATTTAAATGTATTTTCACAATGCCATGAAGAACTATTAAACCCTTCTGAGTTGTACTGTCTTAGCAACTACAACTATCACCTTGTGGTTAAATGGGGACACTTTAACTCCAGCACTTAGCAGAGAATGGATAAACTGGAGAGCACAAAGTCAAAATCAAACGCTGACAAAGGAACACATTGAAACAACTTGATGGACTTTAGACTCATAATGTGTGGACTGATGAGATAAAAATGCATGTGCTGAAAGGTGTTTGTCCTGTTATATCTGGGTGAAGCTAATAGGCAAAAAGAACATTATGCCAACAGCTGAACACGGTGGTGATATTTTAGTTAACTGGAGCTCCCTTGTTGCTACAGAACCAGGGTGACTTGCAGCTATTGAAAAGACTTTAAGTTCTGCTGTCTTCTAAAACATCCTGAAGGACCGTAGATCAAACGTAGATTAAACAGCAGGATTTAATCTAATCCATATCAACTAATGCAAAATAATGGTTACGTTTGGACCTTAAACAAGTTTGCTGATGTACATGACTTATTCCCAGTCATTGCAAACATTTTTCTACAGGGCTAACCTGTAGAGCTTTTTTTACACATAATTCAAAGACAGCAGGTGTCATGTTATTTCTATACAGAACTGTACAGTACGATCTAAGACATTCTGCCAAGGAAAATTAAATACTATTATTAATTAAGAAGCAGATAGGTGATTCTCACTCAAGCTGTATTTATTTAATGATTTTTGCAAAGATGGAAACGATTATAGAGACAAAGATGCATTTAAAGGAGTGTTCTAATCCTCACAGAGAAAACACTCTAAAATCACAGTCGTGACTCATCAGCACCAATTTGAGATAATATGGAACGAACCAGAACTGGGCCGTCAGCTCTACGAGACAAAGGTTCATTTTGTTTATAATGTTGGATCAGGTGACATTGCATCATAAACAAGGCTAGAGGATATAGTTTTAGAACACAAACTATTCAGCCTTCAAACATGATAAGACATAACACAGAATATGGAAAACATAGTTTAGTCAAGAGATTAGAGAAAAGCAAAGCAAGAAGTTAATTTCAACAAAACCAGTTTAGAAATTCAAAAATCTGTGAGAAGGTGCTGTATATGTTGGCATACAAATAATTATAAGACTATTTACGATGATGTCATAGTATGAGAAAATACTTGATAAATGATACAGGATGCTTTGGCTTTACAGCAACTGGAACTACTGTTCATTTGTTAATGAGCATGAAATTTGTGGAGCTTTTGTGGTACAAAAACAAAAATACACATTTTGTTTAACTGTTAAGACAGTTATGTGTTATATATACATCTGTGTAGGGTGTTTGTTTTTCCTTACCTGGACTTTCTGCTGTTGGCAGCTTCCGTCTCCATAACGACCAGGTGCGATCTCTAGAAACAGCCAACAGGAGCTTTGCGTCAGGTGAAAAGGCCATCTGGGTGACTGTGAGGGTGTGAAATGGCAACGCCTGCAGCTGACGCCATGTGGCTGTACTCCACAGCAGAATGGCAGCATGCTCAGCTTTAGAGGCCTAAGTGAGAGCAGAGGACATCAGCTCATATATGTTCAGTAAATCACTGCACAAAGTTCACAATTTTAAACAGAGCAACATGTTTGTTTTTTCGTGCAAGCCTGATTTACACCAGCTAATTTTAGATTTTTTTCTATCCCAAGAAAGTCACTTTTCAGCAGATTTGTGTGAGATCAGATATCAGCAGCACAGCTTTGCAGAAGGATTAGATACACCCAAAATATGCCAGCAATAAATAATACAACATTCCTTCCCTTGTATAAAGCTATAGAGAAAATTAAATGAATAAATCGCATTACATTAATGTTTGCCATCTTTTTCAGTTTTGCAAAAAATTAAAATCTAAGTAATTTTTTTACTTAAATTAATACTTTAATTCAATTGGTCATCATGATTATAATCCTTTCTGCAAAGCGGATGCAGTGCTGCCAACTAACCCCGCCAGATGGATAAAACTCTGCCTCCTTATTTAAATACAAGAACATGAAATAACGGGAGCTTCAAATGAAAAACAGAGTTAAAAAACAAAAGACACTGAATACGTAAAGTAACTTTACAAAATAAAAGCGTAATAAAATAACACTCCATTATGAAATAAATAAATTAAGCAATTAAGAAATCTTTGAATCAATAAATATTTAAATATAATTAAATAAAATAAGGTAAAGCATATTTTAACTTTTTATATTTCATGGGGATTTTTACATGAAACGTTTCTACATAGTAAATAAGATGATCTCCCAGTAGAATGAGTATATTTGCCACTAAAATAAGATAAGATAAGAGTTAGTGCGTACGACCCATGCACGGAGGTCTTAGTCCTCGACGCGGCTGACCCGGGTTCGAATTCGACCTGTGGTCCTTTGCCGCATGTTTCTCCCCCTCTCTCATACCCCATTTCCTGTCAGCCTACTGTCAGAAGAATGAGCCACTAGTGCCGTAAAAAAAAAAATAGATTATCAGATAATATGCACCTAAAATAAGAATAGATAAGAATAGTTTTTTTTTCTATTTTAAATAGTCTTTTGCTCTAATCAAAAAGTAAAATACACTTATTTTAATAAAAAAAGCTCCCATTTCATTTTGCAGTGCGATAGTTATTTCTAATACTGCTTATATTGGGTTTCCTTTGTAGGTTGCACAATCTCTTCAAGTTTTGCCGTTTTAACCCAAATGTATCCGATCATTGATCTGCAATGTTATTGGGGATATAAACTTAGATTTGAATATTTCTAATTGTTGAATTGTGTAGGATATACACACAGGCGGTACTCTGCTAACATATGGTGGGTGACAGTGGTGTTTCACAGACAACAATGACTGAGCTGAGAGTCATCAGGATATGAGTAAGAAAATGTTTCACAAAGTAAAAGAAGGATTTATGGTAGAGGAAGTCAGAGAACAAACTGTATTCCTGATGATAACCACCTGTGTGGGTTAGGTCAGGGCACAGCAGGTTCTTCAGTGCTTAATTTGTATCACAGACTAAAACGAAGCAGGTTTGCCATCAAAGAACATTTCCTCTCTGATCTTCCACTGAAACGCAGAGGAGCCTAATCTAATGCAGACTGTGAACCAGTCTGTTTCTGCAACTCTGACCTTGCATGCTGATGCCACTAAGGTCTTGGTGCTGTCAGAGGCCACGCAGAACATCTCAAATCCATGGCCATACCTGGAAATAAAACAGAAATACCAGATAAATCCTTAACAGCCTTAAAAGATGCATGAGGAGAGGCGGATGACAGGAAACAAAACTTAGAAATATATCCGACTCGTTGTAAACTCCAGCTTTAAGACTCTGAGCACCAACAGAAATTACAGACTTAAAAAAAACAATAGAGAAAAGATTTGCGATGACCAGGTCTTTCTTCTGACTCATGACAAATGGAGCAGCCAGTCACTCAAAGCCTAATCGTTTTGAGCTCCCCATCACCTGGTCATTTCAAAATGTCAACCAACTAAAATCATCGTCTGCAGCTCAGTAGGAAGAAAAAAAAAAAAGCATCTTTTTCCTACCAGGAAGCTTTTAAACACGACAGTAATTTGGCGGCGATGGTGAGAGCATTATTTATGCCACAAAAATAATGTGGCCACTTACTCATTTTAATGTTTCTATTATGCTCTAAATGATTCAAGAGGTGCAGCCAAATGGAGGCAGAAAAACTGCTTTTCAAAACAGACGATGTCCACACCTCGAATAAAAGGCTGCGCCATACGTCATGTTTATGGCAGATTGACTAGTAAATGGATTTAGCATTGGCAACAAATGGAGGCAATATATTTATCCTGGAGAGGAGGCTCGTGGGATGGCAGAAGGTAGGATTCTGATTGGCTGATTGGAAGAGAGGGGGACAACAATAATGAGCCTCTAAAAATTCATCATGAGCTGCAATAAATGTTTTGGGGAAAACAAAGACAGACGTCCCTCCGATTGCCTAAGAGCCACTCTCTCATGGAGGGGTGTTGAAGATCATTTTTAAAACACTAGAATATTTTCTTAATCGTTTCCATTTACACCACATTACACCGATCAATATAACATTACATTTCACCTCGAAAATCTTTCAAACACGTAATTCTTTATATTTCTAGAGGAACTGCTGACAAAGTTCACACTGATGTTCTATAACAAAGACAGTGACCAAAATCATTAAAAGGCATAAATGCAGCATCAATGTACTGATTCCAGTGTCACCCAATAAAAAATATCATATTACAGTTATAACAATAAGCTTTAGTGAATATTACCAAACAAAATTTGATAATTAAGTCAGCATTCTAACTATTTAACTACTTCTTTTCCTATTTTCTTGAGAATGTAAAGAAAAGCTGCATATATGCTTTAAAATATGATCAGTTGGTGTTTATTGACACTCATACAGTGATACTAATCTGAGCAACTGGATGGCAGATTAATCTGCAGGAATACAAAACCAGAAGTTCAAATCCCCACAGACAATGCATGTGGGAATCCTGGGTTGCTTAAAATTTATATACCCGGTAATCAGCAAGATACTTATACCCTTCAGACATTGGTGACTGTCCTTAAAAAGAGTGAGGCAGGGTCTAAGTAGGTTAAAAAAAAATCCCAGCATAAGGGAGCAAAGATCCTGATTCCAAATGAAGAGCTAACAGATGAACATCCAATGTGCATGATGTGCACCACAGAGAGATTGAAGATGCAGATGAAGGCTGTGCAAAAGCATGGCCCTAAAGAAGTGTGGCACATAACAGCTGGATGCAAGACAAGGGCAGAGGCCTGCATGAAACCCTATGACCAATTGGCTGAAATATAGTTGAAAAAAAAAACACTTGTGCTGACAAAATCCTGAAAGTCCAACAGCGATAGTGGGAGACACCACAGAGAGAGAGAGAGATGGAGAACGATGGGGATGAGATCCTGTGGGACTTCCGGATACAGACGGATAAAAAGCTGGAAGTTAATCGACTGGACATTATGCTGCTGGACCCAGTGGTGAGGAGCTCAGTAGTGATAAATGCAGGAACTCAAACTGACAGCAAGTTCAAGAAAAAAAAAAAAAAGAGAATCTAAGGAAACACTGGAGGCTCATAAAGAAACCAGAGAAGTTGTAAAGAGCCAGAGGTCATCGGTGAACTCACCCCTAAACTGGTGGAGTGGCTACAGCAGATTTAGGAGTTTATTCCTAGAAACAGCTCCAGTTACTAGAAAATATAAGCTAAAATGTAAACTCCATATTATCTGTTACTAGATGTTACTGTATTACACTTTGTCCGCTTTACTGGTGGAGGTCAGGTTTACCTTTTTTCTTTTACAAAGGTGAAAAATATTAAGCAATATTAAAACAACATTAACAATAAACATCCTGAGGGCAGCGACAGTGAATCGTTCATCTTCCTAAGCAGTTATTACTAGGCATAAAAAAACAAAAGCACAGCAGTACTTTTGTAAATCTAACAGATGGATGGGGTTTCCAGGGTGAGAAACACTGTCAGGTTTACTCCACACAGCATATGCACATTCTTCCACATCTGATCTTATTAACAGCTAACAGAGAAATAATACAGATGCATTTCTCACTTATTTATGTTGGATAAATTGAACATATTTCTTCACATTCATGCATTACATTGCATTTGTCTATCACATAAAATCTAATAATATTTCAACTTCTGTGACAAGTGGGAACATATTCAAATTTGACAAAGCTGTAACTCCAGATTTACAAATGCATTCCGGAAATAATAGATGTTCCACCTAAGATAAAAAGTCAATCGAAAAGAGCAGAATAAACCCTCTTCTTTAGAGCATTTAGCAGCGGATATAAATCAGAAAACAAAGGTGATACTTACAGTTTCTGGACCTCGGGCCACAGCGTGTTCTGGAGGAGATCATCCTCTGGGGGAGGCTCTAAATCCACAGAACCAGACATGCATTGGAAAAGGAAAATTAGTTCATCCTTAAAAAGAAAAACCACTTGAAAGCCTCTAAAATTCTGGTGATAAATGCAGACTTATAAAAGGAAAAATTGTATCATATTGAAATTAATATCACTCCTTTCTTTAAAGCACTATATGGTTAAGGACTGATATATAAGGGCTAATAATTTGTAAGGAGAATCATGTATAGTGAAAAGAAACAACATGAGCACCATAAGAAGGGATAATGAGAGAAACAATGAATTGAAAGCTACACGCCACACTGAGAACACAACAATCCCCTGAAGACAAAGTTTCTTCACATAGTTTTTATTTGGCCCGAATTAAACCTGTTCAGTTTTTAACAAGTTTTTTAGGGGATGCACTCGAGGCAAGAGTCAATCCTCAGCCAGTTTCAGCATAAGCACAGCATGCTGTGTGGTTTAATGAAATCGAAAACTACACTAGTTACTGTTATTGGTCATCATCTCGTCACATAGGCCTAATTATTCATCACTTTTCCTGCCTGCAGAAACCAATCTAACAGAAGAAAATACATTGTTAACCGCAGCTGGAAGACTTTGTTGATCCCCCACCGCCTGAGGTTATCGATAGTTAAGCTTTGCAGTCCCATAGGCTTGCTTTCTAATTAGCATTGCAGATTAAGTAGCGGCTTCACTCATGCTCATGACGGCTCTCAACACCCTCCAGCCCAGAGGGTTTAAAATGCTTTGTCGCTTGGCTCTTGTGTTTTTTTGGCCAATCTTATCGAAAGCATCCATTTAATGTTTTCCCACGAGGAAAGAAAAAAAAGTTTGTAATTAAATTTCTGAAGATAGTTTATCCTTACGGAGCACAACCTGTGATGAAATTTGCTTTTCCTTGCTTCACTTTTTCCTTTTTTCCCCATCTCTCGTCTACCAAAAAATATTAACTCACTTTCAAATCTAGAAGTTGATGAAATTCTGAAGATAGATTTGATTGTGCAGCTTTACTGTACCGGTCAGGCTGAGTGGGTGGAAATAGGACTCCTGGTATTGCTCAGATATACTGTTGAACTGTTCCTCTTCTTTGCCGTTTTTCGGGACAAGGTCGCCTGTAAATTCCACATTAATCGAATGAAAATATTGAACAAAGCTTTTAAACTAGATCGGGCACAGCTGTGTCCAACTACACAGTTAAAGTTAAATTGATTTTTGAATGAAAAGCAATTATAAGATAAAACCTGGCCCCAGTAGGAGCATTGAAACGCTTAAATCCTGTGCTGGGAAGGTATTTTACCTTGAAATACAGCCTTGTTGGAGAGACCCAAGGCAGGTGTGCTAGCTCCTTCTGGAAGGCTGGCCAAGCCCTGGGAAAAAGCAAACAGATGGAGAAAGAGACATTTACTTACAAAACAGCTAAACAAAAAGTATGTTATTAAGATTTTATGGCAATGTTTAAGCAATAGAGACAAAGTTGGTTAGCACAAATCCTATGTGGGCTTTCCTCTTTCAGGATAACAGACCTAAAATATGCAGCCAAAGCTGCAGCAAGGAGGGTTAGACCAATTATACTCATTTGCTAAAAGTCAAGAATCATGTCCGATTGAGAATCTGGGGCGAGACTCGGAAATTGATGCTCACAGATGCTCTCCATTAATCTGACTCAGTCCAAGCTATTTAGCGATGAAGAATGGAAATGGCTTTTAGTATCTAGGTCTACAAAGTCGGAGGTGAACTCAAAAAGACTTGCATATGTCAAAGTTGCAAATAGTGGTTCTACAGACAACTAGGTCAGGGGGTGAAAACAAATGCATTTCACAGTTTTATTATATCTATTTGAAATAATCAAAGAGAATATTGAAACAATGCATCTCTTTCATGCAGCTTCGCAACTATAGCCTACTTTGTGTAAATCTACTGCATAAAATTCCAGTGAAATGCAATGAAATGTGAAAAGGTTGAAGGGATGTGAACTCCTTTTGGAGCTAATCAGATCCTAGGAGAGGATGCACTTACACTGGACTGAAGCAGCTTCTCCTTAGAAATCCCTGAGATGTTAGAGAAGTTCTCCACAAAATTACGAGGTGCTTGAAACACTCTGAGGACTTTCTCATCAGCTCCAGAAACAAACTGAAACCTCCCAACCATGGCCAGACACTGCATGTCATATCCGTGGATCTGAGGCCGGGAAATTTCATGCCAGGTTACCTGCAGAGGGAAGATGCACAAGTATAAAAAAAATCCTGAGCTCTTCATGTGGAAACTAGAAAAGTTTAGACAATTTTTAATCTTTTCAGATAATAGTTTCAGGACTTGTTAATGTAACTTGCATTAATATATAGATATAAACTTTTATGTGTTTTCTAAGAAGTTTGCAACAACTTATTTTTCCTTTGTCAAAATAAAACGACACTGGATTTATTTTCCCATTTACTAAAGGTAAACCACATACTGCAGTTTAATCCAAGGTTGTTTTTTGGATACTTTTCTTTCAACTTTTCAGCAGCTATATTAGCTTACTTAAAAGGATTTTAAACAAAGGTTAATTGCTTCTTTTACTTTGGATTTTTATAATATTAGGATAAAATAAATAGAGAAAACAAGCGACTTTCTTTATATTTCTGTTTTGACAATACAAAGAAAAATTGAAATGTTTCTAAAACTTTGACAAACATCTAAAAAAGAGATTTCCTATAAAGAAAAACATAGGAGGCAGGTGGTGGGGGGGGTTAAAGATTATTTCTCAAACTTATATAACCTTTTAAAATACAAATACTCCACATTAAAAATATTGAATGATTCTGGCCGTAAGGCTAACGGTAACGAAACCCATGGGTGAACGGAAAAAGGATTCAAAAAAATGAAGACCTGTTAGGGAAATGGTGGCGTGTTGATTATGAAAGACTTTTGCATCTAATCGTACTCCAACTAACTTGGCTTAAGAAGCTAAATTTGGATTTTTGTATAACTTTTCACAACTTATCACATTAAATGGAAATCGTATATAATTATAGATAAATGAATAATCTTTTTTAATTTTCCATTTTTTAGACCCTACCAGTTTAGCTTGTTATTCTATTAGAAGAGGACTTCTTTAGTTTTGCATTAAATATAAAGGACGGTAACTTATAAGTAACAAGTATCATCAAATAATACTTAAAAAAAGGGACTTTGCTATTCTTCTACAATACAGGTGAGTGTATTTTCATATGTTGTTGGATGAGAGCTTTTACAAAATAAAATAAAGATAGAACTGAGTTTTTCAAGCAATTTTTCTGCTTTAAAGGTCACCTCATTGTCAATTGATCTTGAATCACATTTCTTTAAATTTTTAATGACTGAATGATTAAAAATATTTCTATATTTTGAACAAACAAACAAGAACACCGGCTTAAAATGAAAAATTATAAACGGAAAACTATAAGATATAAAAGAAAATCTATCAAACATCTCTTAAATCAAAAGTTCTACACCAAAGTCTCAGTTTATCTTGTTTTACCATTTATGAGGCAGTGTTGGTACATCTTACCTGTTTGCTGTCTTGCCTTCTCCATGGAGTGAATAATCTGGTGGTCTGGTCTGAGCCCACGCTCAGGATAAACTCCCCCTCTGGATCCCAGCGCAGGTCTTGGACGGCATTAAAGTGACCTGATATCACAACTGCAGGTCTCCACCCCCCCTGCATCCAAAACTTTACTTTAGGTAAGGTTTAGTCTTCATGTCTATTTCTGAAGCAGTGCTTATGATGAAACTGAACAATTACGAAGCAGCCAGAACAAACCTTTCCCCTTAAACATTGTATTTCATTTTCATGAACTGCTGGTTCATAGTAAACTTTGCATTTCCTGTTCAGTTAGATGGGATCTAAATCCAGCCATGTCTGCATTAAACCTCCCCTCCCTGCCAGTGACACCTGACAGCGGTACGCAGCAGCTTGGTGATTGGCAGAGAGAGAGACAGGGTGGAACTAATTGTTCTTCTCCTTGTTGGTGTAGCTGTATAGAAATGTCAACCTGCTGGTCTTTACATTATATGGACTTTATAACTGAACCTGTTTATAAAGTTTTTGAGGGATTTTTTCTTTTTAATAAAAGGTGGGAAAAAAGAAACATTTCAATATTTGGACCTTAAGATGAAAACAACAAAACTTGACTTCAAATAAGGAAAAAAAGAAGAGACACAAATCCACTTTATGCCATCTGATTTTCCATACTATGTTTTTGAAAATATAAAAGAAAACATTAATAGAAATTAATTTAAGCTCTAAGTTTACGCCATCTCTAGAAGGTACAGATGACCAGTCCTCCTCTGAATGTAAGCATTAAAACAAGGGAAATCTCTTAAACAGGCATTATTGTCACCTGTTTATCTTGATCTTTGCACCAAAGGTGTAGCGCTCCATGGAAAGCATGAGCCAAAATCATTGATCCATCCGGACTCATCTGGCAGCCATAGAATCCCAGAGTGTTTCCACCTACTTCCCCTACGCGCACCTGGTTTTAAAGAGGACAGAAAAGTATTGATCAAACAACAGAATCATCTTTTTTAACAGGATTACAAAACAAGAAGTTAGCTGGAAAAAAACATTTGGAAACTAGGTCAAAGCTGTGACATTATGGTTGAAAAAATATTAAAAAATGGGGGGAACAGACAAATAGGACATCTTTTTTAAAAGCACTTATTTATTATTTAACATCTGCTCTTCCACTATGTACAGTACGGTAGGATTTAAGGGGGATAATTTGTTTAGCCCAACCTTTTGAACGATGACATTCATAGAAAACGAGGGATAAGAATGAAGAAAAGCTTCTCCAGTATGGTTTCAGTCTCTTAAAATCTCATTAACCAAGAGTTCTTAATGGTGGACAGAAGTGAGGAGGGGAATTAAAAAGAGGGCAAATAAGATTAAGCTGACAAATCTGATGAGAAATTAAACAAAATGGGACTCATTAGACTTGAATAAACCCCGTGCTTTCCTCCAAACAAAAATAGATTTGTCTAGTAAATAATGAAAGCAATTTAACCAAAGCACATTACATGAAACAACTAATCATGAGAAACGTCACAGCTTTATATCCCTGGCAGTAATGCACAAAGCGATTTGGATCTCTGACCCAGTCCTCAGACAGAAAGTACAAAACCTTCATCAGGGCTGAACTGCCACTGAAAAGCTAGTTCACTTAAAAAAAAAAGACAAGTAATGACTTTAGTAACAAGGAGAACAATAACAAAACATAAAAAGGACTATTTTAGGATTATAATGACCCCTTAAATTATAAATTTGCTGTGCTTTTCTTCATGCAAACAGTTACGGAACCAGTTTTGTGGAATTTAACTGACAACTTGGGGCAGAGAGCATTTTATGATTTAAGTAGAGACAGCAGATAGGCTGACATCCTTTCATTGAGCTTCTTCTAAACTTCCTAAAGCTCCTGCAAAGAACCAAAAATGGTACCTAGGGATGATATAAAACAGGCTCTAAGGAAAATGACTTTTAAAAGTTATTTCAAGGTCATCAACAAGGCTGAATTTGATACCCCGAATAGTGGGAACCTGCTGGGTAACAGGACAATACTTCAAAAAAAACTGAGAAATTGTATCACTGTCACATCTGGAATAACACGTAGTGAGTGATGTGATGGTGTCTGGATGGTGCTGAATACAGAAATGGATGCACTCAAGTGAGGTGCATCTCTCCTTACACTGCCTTCAAAGTTAATGCATTAGTTTGACAGCGTAAACGCAATGTGTCCAGAGATAGCTACTGACCTAATGTGACGCTCCTCAAGAAGCAGAGTTACTTGGATGCCTCAGAAAAAGGCAGCATTATCTAAACCCCTGCTGCTGTTAGCTGATCTAAAGAGATTAAAGTGGAAAAACTGTAGTTATGGAATCCTATTTAGCTCAAAAAATGTGTTCTCTTACAAAGCGACATATATGGGTATCGATACGTGGACTTCAGGAAGATTTATGGCTAAGTTAATATCTCTATAGCCTCTACTTCAGAGATGCCAATGCCTGCTTTGGAGAGTGGCGGCCTAGAGTTTAGGGCATTGGGCTTGGAATCCTGAGGTTCTGAGTTCGAGCCCAACTCCCACAGACTGCCACTCTGGGTCTCTGAGCAAAGACCCTTAACCTCACAATGCTCCTCCGGCGCCCCACTGCTCCCCCAAGGGGATGGGTTAAATTCAGAGAGTTATTATAATTGCGCTATACATGTGACAGTTTAATGACAATAAAACACGGGAATTGGAACAGCTAAACAATCAAGTGAAAGATTATCTATTATAATTAATTTATTTTATATATATATTTATTAGGGCTGAAACAATTAATTGGATTATTTGTGATTAATCAATTATTGAAGTGATCGTCAACTAATTTAGTAATCGATTAATTGCTAACTGGAGTGTCGAGACTCTAAAACATGCCTTTAGCTGACAGAAAAACCCGCTTTGAGCAGCAATTACACAAAATTGTTAAAAAAGAAAAATATGTAAACATTTTGCATTTAAGATACAAATTGTTTTAGTCTGTGAATGTGCTATATCAAATAGAGCTCGATACCCAAGTGGAAAGGTTTTAGTTTTATTTCGCAAAAAGCCTTCTTTGAGGAACCTTTGGCTGATTATTAATTGATTTATTTCAATATATATATATATGCATCCGTGTGTGTGTGTGTGTGTGTACATACACATAAAGACCTTAGTTTACTGTGTCTACTCCATCCCCAGAAAAAGAGAAAAACTGGAGGAAAATAATGGATACTGTGAGAGGCCTGGTCTTTGACACCACTAGGCTGAATACCCTGAACCATTAGGAATAAAACCAATAAAAATCTTTATGGCCCTTAAACCTTAACAGGTTCATTGAGCCCAAAGGAAAAATAGATTTATACAGAGGACTGGACCACCGAGGAATAGTGCACAATTCCCTTTGCCTCGAAACCAAATATAGATAGGCAATATCTACTCAATCTTTAATTAGCCCGGGTCTTCTATCATGAATTTTCACTCACGGGAATTATAAGAGCTGCATATTTTGAAATTTAATTTTTTTACTGATGCAAAAAGAAGCACACAAACTAGATGCCAAAGAGTGAGATAGTCAATTATCCAGGCTTCTCAGTGGTCATCAGTGACCTTCTAAATAATGCCTGTAAGGATGCCGGACCACAGCGGAACAAATGGCAGCGATAACGGCATGTCTTTACATTGAATGGCCTGATCCTTTAGCGAGGGAGATTAAAGAAGACAGAAGGGGAGGAGAGGCAGCCTGGGAGAGACATAAATGGTGAGATTGAGAGGAAGAGATGCAACATTAAGCAGATTGATTTTAAAATTCTGCACAGAAGAGCAGGCTATAAATCATGAAAAGAAACACACAGGGGCTAAATGCTGTCGTCTGTCATGATCAGAAGGGGAACAATATGGATTCACGGCCTACGCTGGACAGTGGTGATGCTGAAGAGGAATATGACAAGGACAGAAAAGACTAGACTACACTCACCGGCCACTTTATTAGGTACCCCATGCTAGTAACCGGTTGGACCCCCTTTTGCCTTCAGAACTGCCTCAATTCTTTGCGGCATAGATTCAACAAGGTGCTGGAAGCATTCCTCAGGCAGTTTGGTCCATATTGACATGATGGCATCACACAGTTGCCGCAGATTTGTCGGCTGCACATCCATGATGCGAATCTCCCGTTCCACCACATCCCAAAGATGCTCTATTGGATTGAGATCTGGTGACTTTGGAGGCCATTTGAGTACAGTGAACTTGTTGTCATGTTCAAGAAACCAGTCTGAGATGATTCCAGCTTTATGACATGGCGCATTATCCTGCTGAAAGTAGCCATCAGAAGTTGGGTACACTGTGGTCATAAAGGGAGGGACATGGTCAGCAACAATACTCAGGTAGGCTGTGGCGTTGCAACGATGCTCAATTGGTACCAAGGGGCCCAAAGAGTGCCAAGAAAATATTCCCCACACCATGACACCACCACCACCAGCCTGAACCGTTGATACAAGGCAGGATGGATCCATGCTTTCATGTTGTAGATGCCAAATTCTGACCCTACCATCCAAATGTCGCAGCACAAATCGAGACCATTCTCTGTAAACCCTAGAGATGGTTGTGCGTGAAAATCCCAGTAGATCAGCAGTTTCTGAAATACTCAGACCAGCCCTTCTGGCACCAACAATCATGCCACGTTCAAAGTCACTCAAATCACCTTTCTTCCCCATACTGATGCTCGGTTTGAACTGCAGGAGATTGTCTTGACCATGTCTACATGCCTAAATGCACTGAGTTGCTGCCATGTGATTGGCTGCTTAGAAATTAAGTGTTAACGAGCAGTTGGACAGGTGTACCTAATAAAGTGGCCGGTGAGTGTATATGTATCACTCCTAGAGAGAAACTAAGAAAATGAAATGGGATCAACCAAGCAAAATAACTGAACGTGTTACGTATCGGGAGAAGGCCTTCAAATTTAACTCTTTGGCTTTTATGAAGCGCAATACAAAAAAGGACTGATTTCTTGGACAAATAATAAGACTGTAAATCTGATTTGCATTTACAGACAATGGAGAAAACATGGAAGATCTAACAAAATTACTCAGAGAACCCAAATCACAGGTAACCCACTGCAGGCCCCACTGGCCTCAGCAAAGGTCGGTGTTCAAGGTACAATAATAGCAAAAAAGACATCTATAGAAGAGTCCCAAGGAAAAAAAACTATTGATCCCAAAGTCTTATTTGGGACAAATGAAATAAAAGATCAAGTCTTGGAAGTTGTGTAACACTTTACATATAGCACAAAACTAACAGAATTTCAGAAACAACCACCTTAGATTACAGAAAAGCTTCTCCACAGCATCATAGCATTATATAAAAACACAGGGGGGTGCAGCTGAGTGGGCAGTTTTTATTAAGCCTAAATTATATTATCAATAATCAGAAGTTTCCATTTTTGATGAATATTTGTATTTTATTTTGGTTTTGTTTTGGGGTTTTTTTAGAACCAAATCAGAGGAGTGTGTAACTTGACTCCTAAGTAATCTAGGACATTTCTGCCTTTGTAAATTCTCAGTCATACGTGTCATGGCAACTACTAAACAGCATAAGTTGGAAGGTAAGAACATTTCTGCTCAGTTTTCTTTTAAAGATGTTTCGACAACTATTAAAAATAACTATTACAAAACTTATTAAAAAAAGGACTGATTGTATTTTTCCATGTATTCATATTATTAATAAGGAAGTATAAGTACACTGCAAAAAAACTGAAATCTAAATAAGTCATTTTTAGTTAACAAAAGTGCATTTGTTCTTGAAATGAGGAGGTGAGACACTCTGCCAATGGAACAAGACAATTTACATTTAAAATAAGAAAAAATAATGACATTGTCTTATTTCTAGTGTATATTATCTAATTATCTTATTTTAAGAATAGAAAATCTTATTCTATTGACAAATCATCATTTACCTGCTCAACTGAAAGACACTTTTACTTATTTTTATACTGAACAACCTGTAAAATGTTTTTGTTTTTACTTGATTGTGAGAATAACCGATAAAATAGCTGCTTAATAAAACTTTGTTACAGTCCTGCACTGAATAATTTTTTTTTTAACCAATGGGTTACAGAAGCTTCAAACAACCGTAGATTGAAGTGGATTATTTCTATCAGCTTGTTTATTTTCGAGGTTTTAGTTGCAGGCTGATTTCACTCCCAATTTTTACTCTGGTGAAATGCTTTGTCAGCATTGTTCTAACTGTATAGACATGTGTGTAATCACAGCAAGAGTCATTAATGTTTTACATCAATCATGTATTACGTGAACATATATTTTTATATGTATGCTTGTATGTATATATACATCTTTGTTGTGGCTCCAATAAAAATACTAAAAAAACAATAAGAAAAAAGACTGGTGAAAAGTTTCTATCAAAGAAAACTAACTGAATTCTTTGAGTCATTAGGTTGCAGGAACACTCCTCCTCCCAGAGGAGGTTGCATCAATGGTAAATATTCAGAAAGACATTTTTTTGGCTGATGTCAAACCAGTTGGGATATTCCTACCGAAAAGCTTAATTTTTTTTCATGCATTTTGTTTTGCAGATTTTCAATCTTCACCAGATGTGTAGTGTGTAAAAATCTGATATCCTATGAAGCTGTGGTTCTCTGGTGCTCCTCCACAGACGATCTTGGTCGGTTTGCAGTCATGTTTGGGTTTTCTATTATCAGAGGATGAATTATTCAAAGCTTTTTTTAGTCTCTATAACCAAATCCTACTTCAACCTTTCTATAACTTGATATTTAACATGATTGCTGACGTTTTTGATGTTTTTTAATGCAATATAAGGTATTTTTACTTCATGGATAATATCTGTTCTTTTAAATCAAAGTAATATATATATATATATATATATATACACCCTGAAGTTAGAAGTGAAATTAAATATTCAGTTATTCAATCAGTTATTATATTATGGCAGAGTTGTTTTAATGTAAATTTTTAGTTATTTGGTCTTGGAATCATTTTTTTTTTTATCTAAGGCAATGCTAAAAAAAAGGTTATCAGTTAAACACAAACTAAATTTCCCTCTAGACGTTTTGGTGGCTCCCTGTGGTCAGTCGTAGATGTTAATTACCAGCGTCTCTGTGGCAAGATGTTTTTTCCCACAGCGGTAGCCTCTGACCGCCCCACTGCTAATCCCGCTGTCCTTCAGAACCCACCAATTACTCTAATCAGCGTGCTGATGCGAAGCACTTCTCTGTAGAATCGGCTAATTAAGACAAACATGGCTGGTCATTTAGACCCACAGTAAGTGCCACGCCCAAAAACTTTGTTCTTGTTGCGGTCGAGGACCTTCAACTATAGTATAGCATTAAACAGACATTCAAACTTAATTTATAAAGTCTAAAGTAGAATCGCTTTCTTTTTAGGGTTTTGTTATTGTGAATACCTGAAAGAGGAATCATAACAACACAAAGGTTATTCAACGTCTGAATTTTTATTTTTTTTTCCATTTTAGAATAAAAGCTCAAAAAATAAAAGATTCTCTATACCAGACTTCTCTTATTCTGCTGCTGGTTTCCTCCCTCTCCTATACTGATCGGTCTATTTTAGTGGTCCTGAGAAGAATATGATCATGTCGAGGGCTTCAGGCCCTAATCATAAACTTTCTGAGAAAGGAAACTAATCTTTGTAGCTAATCACCGTGAAAATAAAACCATGGGATCAAAGGTGCAAAAAAGAAGCAGATCAAGTGCTGAAACCTCATCAGCCTGGAGCGCAATCACACACTGGGTCTCTGTTCACTCGGATATGTGTGTTTATCTGAAATGACGCACGCCAGGATATCTGCATATGTGAACAAGTCTTTGATTTTTATTTTGGGATTTTGGACCAACGTTTGAGCAAGAGGCCGTGCGGCATCCTAAACCACCTGAGAACATAATGTATTTTGGAACAATAACAACAACAACAAAAAAAGAAAAAAGGTGTGGAGCAGATGGGGAGAGAATTGCTCTTTTCTCCTCCCAATCCACACTTGTGTTAAATTGAGCTTCCACTCTGGCACGGCCTGAGCTGCTGGGAGCACAAAGAGAGGAAGTTTCCATCGAAATAAGATGGTACAAATACAAAGAGTGAAAGAAAGGATGGAAAAGCCGCAGAGGAGGAAAAGCCGCAGAGGAGAACAAGTTTGAATGGCTTTGCTTGGGGAATAAAATTAAATGAAAGATTCTGGGAAAAGCCATCTACTGACATTCAGTAAAAATTCTAGTATGAATCACTAATTAATATTTTTTCATGATGAACAAAAAAAGAGAAAAATTGATAAAAGAAGAGAAGAAAGGATTAAAAGAATGAAAGATAAATGGAGGCAAGAAAACGAGAAAAAAAGGCATTCAGATCGCATTGAAAAAATATTTGGAGATACTGTTAGAGTCTGCACTGCTGTCTTTTTTCAAATTTATTTAGAAAGTAAAATCAACTTCCATCATATGCATACTTTTCCCAACTGAGGAGGAACATTAAAGGTATAGTGGAGGATGTTATTTTTCTGGGTGGATCATCAAAATAAGTGGTCCCTTCTAATTGTCAATCATTCTGGTGATATGTTTACATAAAGCCGGGCGTACACTGTGCAATTATTTTCAGTTGTTGCACGCAGCTACTGCTCATAGTGTACGACTAATCGCAGGGTTTAGTCGTACAGTGTGAGTTAACAGCTCACGATATATGTTCAGCCCGACGCTCTCGTGCGATCTGCCTGCTCACACTGTACGAGAAAAAATCACGTCGGACTCAGCTCCGCAGTGAGATGGAGCTGTTCTGACTCGTCTATCTGGAGGCCAAACAAATAGAAGGGGAATATTAAGCTCCGTAGAATGAAACGCACTGCTTTGGCAATTTGTGCAATGTATTTAGCAAAAAGACATGGCTGAGCAAACATGGCTACTACGGTCTGTCCATTTTACAGATAGAACTGCATTTCATTAATTACATCCCTGCCACGCTGCTGTGTTCACAGAAGAATACTTGTTTGCGCATGCACCCTGAGCGATTTGCCCACAACGGTCGGGAGAGAAATCAAACATGTTTGATTTTCTCTCGACCTCGCGATTCCTGATCGGGAGGTGGTACTGAGAGCCTGATCGCCGCTCGTAACCCCCTGTGCACTACGCACGATCAGGCGGACTTTCAGCCTGATTGAAAAATTTTCTGGAAAATCTGGAAAATCGCCTCCAAAATCGCACATTGTAGGCCGGGCTTAAGGCCGTCCTACGTGCTCGTCCCCATTTTCACTTACTGGTGGTGAGTCTGACATAGTAGAAAAATGTAAAATCTTCTTTTGGAAAGCAAGCTTTTACGAGCAACGCAAACAGCAACTTTTAAACAGAGCTTGCAAAAGGAGAAATGGGCTCGTGCATTCTCTGGCAAACTGTTTAATAGGCGTTCCTTCTCTGGATACAGGGTTGTGCATGTGCATTTCTTTTTAGTGGAGAGTGCGGGTCTTTTTAAAATCTTCCACAATAGCTTTAACTACAATTTCTGGCTTTGCACAACATTTGAGGAACTTTTTTCAGATGTAAGAAACTATTAATCAAACCCAATCTCAAGCATCCTTCTTTCCCCCCTCTGGCACAGAACAAGTCAGACATCACAATCGTAGGCTCCAATCGAAATTAATTCTGCCCAAGAAAACGATATCACTCAACTGTAACGAAGAAGCAAAACAATCAATAAATCAATGGCTTAATCTTTTAACAAGCTGCTGAACATTTAAAAAAGCTCTCAGCAACCCTTTAGAGATAATTTAATCCAGCTCAATAAAGTCTGGTCTCCTTCCCTGCAATTCATTGAGAGTGGATTCCTCTCCTTCCAGCTTTGCTCGCTTTGAACTTTTCAACCCGATTATGGTAGAAAACCAGTTAATCGACAGTATTAGTTTTTTATCCATCTTTGACTAAAACCTCTACTCTTATGTGTATAATTTCTAAAGTTGTATATATTGAAGAATTTCTTTTTCCATGTATTTTTGAAATAAATATATGAGCAACAGAAGCATCTCGCCACCTTCTCTTTCTTCCATGGATTTGGGAAATGTGCTGTAAAAGAAGAGCGAAAGAGTGAAACATCTGAGAGGACGACATCATCTTTCCAACACTCAGCGGTGTACCAGTCAGTTCCTCTTCATCACTGTCTGACAGTGATCCTGAGAGTGGGAACTGAGATAGTAGAAAGAACGCAGGAGAGCTGGGTTCTGGGCAGAGGAGCGATTGACAAAAGGCTGGCTCTATAACTAGACCCTTTAAGCCCCATGCAGGCTGCAGAGAATGATGGATTAATGTGTGTGTGTGTCTGCATAGACCATCACACTCAAATCAACACCGACCTGCTCCACCCAGACTCCAGAGCCTTCCTCAGGAGCCCAGATGATCATGGTTTTGTCCATGGAGGCTGAAAGCAGAACAACAGGCTGATGCCACTCACCACCTGCAGGGGGAGACAAAGGGAAACTCAGACCCCTATAGTTTAAATGTTTACAGCTAATCTTCAATGGTAGACTCTAGCCAGTGATTTGCAAAGATATTCACAAGCCACATGTTTTAACTACAAAAATTAAGATGTTTTTATCCAATAAAAGTCATCTAGTCTGCTAATAAATCTGTCTGTTAGAAATGTTACAATACATGGTCTACTGAGCACAGATTATGTAAAGAAGCATAATGTTAATATAATCTTGGAATATTTAGGATTCAACAACTTGCAAAAGGTTTTCCTACAAGTTTATGATTAATATGCTGAATATTTGAGGATAAAACAGGATTGAGTTTTATTTGTCTATGTTAACAAAGAGCAATTAAAAAATTATTTCGGTTCAGGAGGGGCTAATCCATGACTGAAAATTAAACAAAAATGTTACACGAGTCAATTTTAACAAATAATATAGTTCTAATGTGGCAAATTAGATAATAATGGCATAATGGCAGTAAATGCTTTAAACTCAAAGTAACCATTTCTCTGAAATATTGTTCATAAATCTGGCTTAATCTGTGACATTCAACACTTAAATAATCCATCCCACCAAGCTGGTGTAGCATATGAAAATGCTGATCAGACACCATTATTACTACACAGGTGTGCCAAGCTGGCCACAGTCAAACACCGCTCTGAAATGTGGCGTTTCATCACAGCACAATGCCACAGATATCACAAGTTTTGAGGGAGCTTGCAGTTAGCATACCGGCTGCAGGGATGTTGCCCATTCATTTAATGTTCATCCCTCGACCAGAAACCTTCTCCAAAGGTATTTCAGATAAATTGGCAGAACATCCAGTCCTCATAATCATAGACTATGTGTAAGCAATCCAAACCCAACATGTTCACCTCCAAGATCGTCTGAGACCAGGCAACTGGACAGCTGCTGAAAGAACCTGCACAAACTCTCAGAAACCATCTCAGGGATGCTAGATGCTAGTCGCCCTCACCGGGTCTCCAACTGACTGCAGTTTGTCATTGTAATTTGGACAGATTGGAAAACATTTCAGGGAATGGTTCTTTTTTTGTATACAGAAAATGTTTCAGATCTTTAAGTTCAACTTATAAAAAATGGGAGCCTTAGCAAAAAGTGTTGGATTAATATTTTTGTCAAGTGATGCTTTCAAATTTCATATCAGATAAACGTATGCAGGAATCCTTAGAAAAGGGAGAAAAAAAATCAGACTACCTTTAAAGACAGGAGGCTGCCAGCTGACCCCATAAACCCAGTTCTCATGTCCTGCCAGAACTGTCTCAAGAGACACAGCAAACTGTGAAACCATTCCTGTAAACAAAAAAAACATATCAGTATCATCAAACAAACATGTCCTGGTAGCAAATCAAATATCAGCATATACTGTCCTGACTACAGTGAGCATAAAAGCCTTCCCCATTAAAATGATCTCTCCGCATTTGGTTAATTATCGTCATTTTTTGTAATCATGCCTGGCTGGCCCACTCACCTCTGTCCTTCACTTCAAAAACGTCCTCTTTCATTTTGATGACGGAGTGATCATCTTCTGTGCTGGTGTCTGTGCCAGATTTGGCACAGAGCCTCCATACTCTGATGAGAGAGTCCTGTGAACAGCTGGCTAATAACAGCTCGCCCCCTGAATGAGACACAGAGAGAGAAAACCTGAAAACCCTCTCTCTTCTGCAGACCTCAAAGTTACCAGGTTTGTTTTTATATGAACTCAAATTCTATTGGAAAGGGCAACACTATGCAACACATAAAATACTGCCTTTGTAACTAGTCACATAAAAATACATCAGTTTATATTGGGGGAAAGAAAAAAAAATCGCTCCACATCTGCATCTTCAGAATATAGTAGGTTCAGCTATGTGTCAGAATGTGAACAAGTGAACTTTTTAATTATTATTTTTATGAATTAGGATTCTTTAAATGGATTTAGATGTTATTGATCATTTTAAATTGCTAATAAAATTTCCATTTATCTTTACTGACAAGTTTTATCAAAAAGCATCCTACTGTCATCCAAACAAATCAATATAATCTCCCATCATGGTAAAAATGGTGATTTACATCTCTATTTGTTATGTGTATCAGATGAAGAATAACAATAGAGTATTGTGAAATTTATAATTCAGGTCTATTAGTATTAGACATTTACAGGTTGGCCTTATATTACCCAAAAGACACCTGACATGTTTTATATGGGTCTGTTTAGAGTGAGCTCAGCATAGTAATATTAATCCCTAAATATGACAAAGAATTCTTACAACTTCACTTCCGCCCTAATAAAAGTGGTCTTTTGCCAATTTTACCCTATTTCACATAAAAATCACCTGCCTATATAGTTGGTAAATGCATTGCCCTTTTATTTCCTATGTATCCAAGTTAAATATTACCTCCTATTTCCAAAAACTGTTGTTCAGAGTCCAAGTTTGTAACGAGCTTCATGCTGCACCTTTTTTTACCACTATTGAAATAAATGAAAGTATGGAGCAAACTCAGTAAGGGATTAAAGCAATGTTCAACCATGAGCATGTCTAGCAAAAGGATCAAACTGAATTTCTTAAATGAGATTTAATATGGAAGAAGTGTGGTGAACAGGTACTCTTAGTCTCTGTGCATACTTTTGTTATGGTTGAGGTCATATCAGTTATGGGTCATAATTGTATGAATAAATATGTGTGTAAGGACATGTAAGGTGTATATCTTTATATGTACATACATAACTAATTCACTTAATGGATTAATTAAAGTAGTACAAACTCATAAATTAAATTGGAAATGGGAAGATTGTTGGTGTTAAGAACTAAAGATAGGAGAAGAGGTATGATTAAAGGTACAGTGGAGAATTTTCACAAATTTTTGAAAAGACCCGCCCTCTTCACTTCTAAAAAAAAAGAAAAGAAAAGAAAAAATGCACATGCAAAACCCTTTACGCACTCCCAAGACAGAACACAAATTAAATGCATGCGAGATCATGCAAAAGCCTATTTCTACTTGTTTTATGACATCTCTCTTCGTGCACGCTCTGTTTAAAAGTTGCTGTTTGCATCGCTCGTAAAAGCTTGCTTTCCAAAAGAAGATTTTAAATTTTTCAACTATGACAGACTCACCACCGGTAAGTGAAAATAGGGACGAGCACATAGGAAGGCCTTACGGAAACATATCACCAGAATGATTGACAATTAGGAGGACCACTTATTTTGATGATCCACCCAGAAAAAGAACATCCTCCACTATACCTTTAAACCTTCACTTCTTTGTAACCCCTTTTACATAAGCACTATATTATAGATAAAAGGTAACTATATATATATATATATATATATATATATATATATTATTTATTGTATGTAATATTTGTATGTGTTAAACTTGGAAATTTATTAGATTGTCTGAAATAAAGTTATCCATTTATTCATTTATTTATAAAATATTAGGAAACAACTCTTCCTGTAGGTATGTGTAATGAAGTGTTATACTATGTACCTATACTGTCACGAACAGAGAGCAGCACTATTAACAGATTTTTGGTCTTAAGTTTGAATTCTAATCATAGTATTCTTAATTTCCCCATTTAAAATGAGAACTACACAATTTTATTCTTCCTCTGGCAAATAAACTCATTTAAATTAACCATTAAGAATTAAAACAGATTTAAGAAATGAAATGGCTTATTTTCAATCAAATACATCAAAATACAGATTAAGTTTTTATTCTGTTCATAAAGTATTCTATATATTTAATCTTTTCTCTAAGTTGCATTGATAGCAACAGATTTGTTCAGTTCAATTTTAAAGTCATGGACAGGAGGCGGTCTAATTAAAGAAATTACATGATAATTCAGCTTAAGTAAAGATAATAACGACTTCACTGGTAATGTTAAACAAAAATGGAATTACCATGAATTTTCTGCTTATAATTATCATCATACTCTAAGGTATATCTGAAGATTTGAAACAGCTGCTCCATCCGGGATCAATGAGAGGTTAGCATCTAACAGAGTTGTAGCCAGTAAGGCAGCAGGACAACAAGCCCACACACAGACAGGTGGCAGACAAAGCACATGCTGATTTTCTGCTGCAAGGCCCTGTCTTTATACATAATGCATGTCAGCTATTTTCTGTGGAGACTAGGCCAGCTTTATTCCAGCCAAAGACAAACAGACATTATGATAATGTTGTAAATTCCTCAGTTGCTATACAGAAAGATGCCAGGCCGTAAATCAAGTCAATCAAAGCACTAACACGTTGATGACGACACAAACTATTATTTGTTATGGTTTCTGCCTGAAGGTCTGCCAAAGCGGCATGGGGTGGTGACAAGGGAAATAATGTTTACTCCTAATTGGCTTTAAATGCCTGAAAAAGCAACCCCCCCACATGCTAGAGCTACTCTTTGTGACATTAAGCTATTTTATTTGGCCCAGCCAAAAGGTTTGAAGAAGTAGCTGAAACCTACCTACAAACTGAGTTCTTTCCTTTCATCCCATCTACACCCATATATGTCCTCATAATCTGTGCATACTTGATTTAAAGCTGCTGTAGGATGTTTAAAGAAAACAAGGGACTTGATATAAAATTTAAAGAACTCCTCCCCTGGTTCTCTGCTGCTCTGCTGTAGCGCAGCACTGACTAATAACACTTGTGGGGGACAGGCATCCATGCCTTAGACTGGTGCACAGATGCAGTACCGGTACACTGGCACTTTTGAGCTTGCTTGAATGGTGGTAGTGGCTGCGTGTGGAGAGGGGTCTGAACAAGATTGTGATGAACACAGCTAACACATCCTTCTAGCGTTCCTTCTGACCATGAATGAGTTGTTCTGCATTGACCACTGAAAGAAGGCACAGGACTTTGATTCTTTACAACCAAATACTTGCTTCATATGTAACAGTCAGGACATAATTACAGTTTTAGTTAATATGGTAAACATTTTTTTTTCCCATAGCACCTTTAACATATGAAATGTATCCAACTTTAGCATAAATTTTAGCCCTAATATAGGGAGAAAAAAAAAAAACACTAAATCTGGATTTTTTTTATCAGCTTGTTAACCTGCAGCACACTTTCTGTCTCCATGCAAAATACCTGTGCAACTTGGAGTTGTGCATGCTGCACTAAATCACAGAAGATACTAATTTCCATTCAAATCATGGTGCAAACAGAGCAGTGGGAGATTCCCATGCAGACGGTAGCTGCAGTGCTCAAAGGTTTCATAATCAATTTGGCTACTCGTAGTGCTGGCCAGCCCATAGGGGATATGATGAGGTTGTAGCCTTCCTTCGAGGTCAGTGGAGTCACTAGATTTTAAAATCACCAAGTGACCGAGATAAAATATGTATGAGGCAACAAGCCTAAGGATGAGCTGCACCTTCTCTTCTAATAACATTTCTGTCATGAAAACCAATATCCTGCTCAAGTAAGGACAGTGCAACACAATGAATAAGAGAATTTTGTACTTGTTAAATATGTGAGTCGCAAAGCTAGCCAGCATTAATTCAAATAGTAGAAGACGTGAGGCTTGGAGGATGCCGATGACCATTAACTGATTCCTCTCGGCTTTGATTTGAACAGATTACATTTTTTCCATATTAAAGCATAACGAACCTGTACATGCCCATTTAACGCCACGAATCCAGTCTTCATGTCCTGGCAGTGACATTGTTCTCTGGAGCTGAAATAAAGCAGATTCAGAGATTAGCTTCAAACTTTACAAACTCAGATCCAGTAATCAGCAAAGGAAGGATGACCAAGCTAACTCTGAGGGCATAGTGACTCAAGCTCACCTGACCGCTCTCCTGCACGTATAGGTGCACCCGAGAATCATCACCCCCACAGGCAAGTATGGGAACTTCAAACATAAAGGGAAAACATTTACAAAGCACAGGTTTATACTGATATCAGAATCCAAGATTTCATGAGCTGAAGAGAAGCAAAGCATCAACAAGTGAGCAGAACTACAGCTGATACTGAGATGAATGATATAAAAGCAACAAATGTGTGTGCAACTTAAAGGATGTTGAAGGAGCAGCTAATGCTTACCTCTGGTGCCTGGCAACAGAGCTAGAGACACATCCATCATGAAACCGCTCCCAAATGATACATTATGGAGGCACTCGGCTGAGGAGGACAGATCCACATGGAAACATTTCAGATGTGCTACAGTGACACTGTCAGTTAAAAACTCATGTGTTTTAAGACAATGACTGCAATGCTCCAGTGCTGAACAGAATATGCCTGTTTTAGACATTTAATATTTGATAAATACCAAAGATAATAATTTACAACTTTCTCCATTTGTTTTTAAAAAATTGCAAACAAAGAGATAACAGGAATCAGAGAATATTACAGCTTTCTTTTAATCAACCTAAAAACCTCCAGCTGAAACATGGCATATATATATATGTGTGTGTGTGCATATATCATGTGATGCATTGTTTCTTACCTTTCTTGTCACTGCAGAGCCACAACTTCACTGTAGAATCGGATGAAGCAGAAGCAATAAGCACCTCAGAGTCTTCTGTGTAGATAGCATCCACAGCGCTGACAGGACCAGTGTGGCCCTTACACTCCACTGCCTGGACAAACTGGGGAATTACACACACACAAAATTATTCAACTTTTCCATTATTTACTAAAAAGTATGCATCATAAAAATACAGTTAATACTACAAAGGAAATATCAAAAACTATGTATTTTAAATCTAAAAACAGTCATCGGACACCAAGGTCAATTGTAATGGGAAGCATGTTACCGTCTCATCTTGAGCTTCCCAAAGGATGACCCTATTGTCGGAACCTCCTGAGACAACATGACACTCTGTTTCTGCAACAACAAACTCAACACAATTAGATTATTCTGGTTGTTTTAAAGAAGTACTTGTTTCATTTAAAAGACATCAGCAATAACCTTATAGAAACAATTATTGTTCATCAATCAAGGATGGGTTTTGAGTTCATTTCAAATAAGCTGGAGTCCATTGTGCTATACCAGCAATAACAAATCAGCCTTTAACACAGTTAAGACTGTGAAAAACAAAGATGTTTTGCAAAAATAACCCTGATTATCTATTACCTTGTAAACCTTAAACAATGCGTTGAAACACTGTAATCAGGTCTGATTGGATTGCAACTATTGTACATTATTACATATGCAGGACCAGAGAATCTTGTACTTCTTACACGAATCAGAGGATTTATTATATGTGAATATATATATATATATATATATATATATATATATATATATATATATATATAATTTTTTTTTTTTAAAGGAACAGAAGAAAGGAAAGCATGCATCAGGTAGGCTGCATTAAGGCACGTCACCTTTAACAGACATGCAAAGAAAAAAGAAATGATCCTTGGATCTGAGCAAATGTAGTTATCCATTAGTAACAGCAGGTGGCGTGGCCTACCAGAAGAAATGAGGAAATTATGGGTCATTAATATATCATATATTTTTTACCCTAAGAAGTATGGCTATACTAATGGTTTTGAAGCAAATTTTCCACACAAAAGAAAAAGAGACTTTGCAGAGCAGAAAAAAAAGAGCTATAGAGGCCACAATGCTCTGGTTTGTCAAGATTCCTCATTAAAGAAGGTCTTAAAATAATCACTACCATGTCCACCATTTAAAGAAGGTAAAAGAATGTTTGATGTGCTTTTGACAAATGCTGACGTGTGTGTATTGCTCTTCAGAGGCACAGTCATAGTCAATAAACAAAAGAAAGGGAGGAATAAAAGTATAGAAAAAAAGTTAAGAAAAAAAAACTAAATCAAGACCTCAACCTGATGCTATGTTAAGTCTATGGATGCTATAAAAAACATATTATATGAAAACTTTAAAAGCTTAGTCAATAAAGACCACCATCACTTGAAAAAATAATCTTAAAGTAATCATGATAAATTGCCAGGGAAAGTGTGAGAGAGACAACTTTCTCTGACTTAATAGAGCTGAGAATAAAGCCTCGATCTTCCCCAAATAAGCATTTGAAAACTTTGGCGTTGTTCTACATGTGGAATAGAAAATACAATAAATGCAGGGTTAGAAAGAAAGGTGGCTTTTCTCCTTTAAACAAATATAACTATGTATGTTCTGTTTTATTATTGTGCCAATAGTATACATTTGATTCAATGGGAATAGCATGTAACGTTAAAAAGTTATAAATTGCCAGAGTCAGACTGATAGAAGAAATGTAAATAACAGTTCATCTGTGCAGATGCAGGAGTGTGTGCTGTTCTTTATTTGATAAATGACAATAAATGTTCACATACATCTGTCATGTTCAGTTCCATTAAGTCAGTGTTTTCCAACCCTGCTCCTTATTACACTGCATGCCTTGCTTTAGCAGTGCTGTTTTCCATTCCAGTGACTAATTAACAGACTTAGTTGAACTGCATTTATCAGAGTCAGGTGTGTTAAAGCAGATAAACATCTCAAACCTGGAGGGAAGTGTGCTTTGATGACCAGTCCTGAAAAAAGCAGTTCTTGCATAGAGAGGTAAGTTCCCTATGAAAGGAGTCATTTAATGGCATCTCTGCCTTCACTGACCAACCTCTTGGATAATTCTTTAACGTATTCTTACTGTAGTTGTTAATACTCTTAAAGCTGTCTTGTACCTTGCTTTACTTCTTCACACTCACCATGATCCTTCTGGTGAACCCACTGGAGAGCGTTCACTCTTCCCTTGTGTCCGTTCAGCAAAGCGATAACTCTTCTCTCCTTAAGTAAAAAGAATGCAATTTCAGTGCTTCTCTAAACAGTTTAAACCCACACTGCATACGAACCCTAGTAGCATCACCAACTAGCAAAGAACACAAGACTACTCAACCGACAGGTTTTAAACATATCATCACCTGGGGGTCATACAGAGCCACTGAATTACACGTCCCAAAAGCAATAATTCCTCCACGGCCCCAAGAAACAACATTAGGAGTCCTGTTTGCGCTGCATGCTATATGGCATGTCTGTATTACGGACGCCGCCATCTTGGCTAGAGAAGCATTGGAGTTACATGAAAAGACTCCGAGTATAAACAACTTCTCAGGACTAATAGTTCCACATATAATATATATATATATATATATATATATATATATATATATATATATATATATATATATATATATATATATATATATATAATTATTTTATTTGTATTATATATATATAAATATAATGTGTATATATAAATATAATGTTGTATAAAATATTGTTGTTTTTTCCAAGTAATTTTTAACAAGTGCTGCATTTTTTTTTTTACCTTTCTTGTCACTGCAGATCCAAAGTATATAGATATAGATAGATAGACAGAGATGGACAGATAGATAGATATTAATTGCACAATACAATTTTTTGGTGGAAGAAAGACTTTTCCAAATACATTTTTTGAATTATAAGACTCACAAAATCGGCAAATACACTATGTTATCTATAGGTTAGACTAGTGTAAGTTACATATTGTTTTTATTTGTATTTTCACATGACATCCGAATGACATGGCAGATATAGCAGATTAAACATTAGATTAAACCAATAAGTCTTGAGTACACAAAAAGGCTAAACATAATAGTAGTTATGTATCCTTCTGGTGCATTTTTGTCTAAAACAAGTTTGTTTTACTGAGTGAAGTTACTTACAATTAGTCAATTTCCCCCAAGTGATGCTTAATTGTGTTTTTACTCAGGTATAAAGTAGAATGCAGTAAATTTACCAGTAGAAAATTCTTTATTTCCACCAGTAAATTAGATAAGTAAATGTAACAAGTTACTAACCACCTCTAAAGGTTCCCCTTTAGTCTGACTGTGTTTGAGCTATTTTGCTATGAAGAATGGGTAGTGATGGACTAGTGGTTAGGGCAGTGCACTAACCACAGAAGGTTGCCAATACCTAGTTTGATCCCTACAGTCTCCACTTTGGATCCCGGGTGCTGCATAATGGCAGCCCACTGCTCCCCAAGGTGATGGGTGAAATGCAGAGCTAAATTTCTCCAGTGAGATTAATAAAGTTCAAACAATGTACAAAAATGCCATGTATTCAGCTGTAAGAGGCAAATATCAAACAAACTGCAATTGAAAGATACCGCTACAACGTATAGACTCCAAAGGAGAATATATGCATTTTTTGTGGATTTAACCAATCTCGCTTTGCGCATCTACCTTAAGCTCTGAAAGCTTAAAAAAAACATATATTCCTGTAACAGACCAGCATTTTGCACACCACACTTTATAATCCAGTGTGTATAATACAAACGAGAATTGCAGAATTGCAAGAAAAAAATTCATATCTTTTTTTAAATGTTCCTTTCTTTTTGTAATTATGAAAATGTTTACCTTTTATAAAATCACCAAAACACTCAACTGCTGTAAATTAGTTTAAATGTGACCCATTTAAAAAATGATCAAGAATTATATGTATTAATGCATGACACTACCCCTGTGTAACAGCAGAGCAGGATCAAATCGGCAATAAGATATAGGCAGCAAATAACTTTATTAAAAGAATCAGTAACTCAAAAAGGCATAAAGGAAACACAGAAGTTAGTGGGATAACATATGAATTACCAAAGAGCAAACAATTTATAAGAAATAAACACACAAATAGGTGCAATTTATGACAAGACTTAGCGATTTTTTATTTCTATTTTTATTTTCTCCTTTTCTCTGTGAGTTTCAAAACCTCCTTATATTTAATCCCCATTGTCTAGATGCCTCTTAGGTAATACAATATAGGCAAAAATTTAAAATTTTTGATTGAATTCTATCGACTTTATCCAACAGCTAACAGATGTACCGTATATAATATATATAATTCTGGTTAAGTTTTCTTCTTCTTTTATCCCCCACATTATCATCATCGAAAACAAACAGTGAGGGAAACCATCAGTGTACTGCTGTATGGCATAACATTGTATTCGTGCAAGCATTTCTCCTTACTGAAGATCCTTTTCTAAGGAACAATTGCAGTGGTGAGATAACTATGAAGTATTTCCATGTAAATGAGGCACAAAGGCATAAACAAATTAAATCAAATTAAAAAATAAAAACTCTTCAATAAGACTAATTAGCACAGGCTGGTCTTAAAACTGACCTTTAGTGCAGAATGGTCAGAATTCACTTTTACACAGATAAAGTAAGTGTCTAGATTCTAACTTCAAAAAGGAATTCTAAAAAGTTAATCATGTAAACCAGTCTGTAAGATGATTGACCAACAGGAACAGCATTTGTTTGGCAAATGGAAGGAAATGATAGATAGATTTCAATATCTGCAAAAAAAATAAATCTGAAAAGTCTGACATACTCTTTTTAGGCCCCTTTACTCAGATACTCTATATAAAGTCCAATGTATTGAAACAGTTATCCCTGTAGAGTTGCACACGGTGTCTGTTTTAAGAAAATTCCCCCTGAAACCCTTTAATATGGATTCTACCTTTCTGTTGCTCAAGCTGCCTTCTCTCTCCTCTCATCAGTCCTTTTTTCTAAGTCCTCATACAGATAGAACATGGGATGAGTCATGCACTCTCTTGTTTATTTAAATAAATCATTCTAGGTCACGGTCTGCTCCAGTCAGTTATGTTCTCCCATTATTTCAACGCTGTGTCTAAGGCAGGACATCAGGTAAAGGACCAGCTCCTCCGTTCGAGTCTCTTTTGATGCATCTTTATTATTGTAGCCTTCTTTCATCAGCACAAGCTGTGGGGATTTCATGTGAGATATAACATGAGCTGATCCGCTGGTTAATGTCAAAGTGACGCAGAGTCCAGAGCTGGAGCTATAAATCAGATGGACGCTGACAGAAAGATATTTCTGCTCCTATATTTTTCCAGTGATGTCACAAAACACCTACATCCGGATTTACCTAAAAATAGTAGTTTATATATATA